AAATATGTAAATAATTTACTGGCACATTCAGACTAGCATACCTTGAAAAACATCGAGTGTTACGAAATACTATTAAAGGGGTATTCAAGTACAAATACTGGTCTAAATATGAAAATCCAGATACCATGTTACACTTTACTGATTCCGCTTTTCAAATATGCAAATCATTTTTTGGCACATTCATATTTGCATAACTTAACAAAATAAGATTAAAGTTGAAAGGAAGGGTGGGGGGGGGCGGCTAAACTAAACTAAAGATTCTCTATGTCTATACTAAAAAATGTATAGTCATTCCTCCCTTTAAATATATTATTTATTTGTTGGGCACAATGCTTGTTTTTTTTTAATGGAACAAAGTTAATTAGGCTGTACTCAACTCTGTTTATAGAAAGACCGTCAAAATAGGGGTATTAATACGAAATTCCAGTTATTGTGTTATAAATTACTGGAAAATATGTTTCTTTGGCCCTTTGAATCTATCAATTATTTCCGGGCACATTTATGATGACGCACGGTCGTCTCGATAGTTTCTTATAGTGTGCCAGCTTGATTTACTGTTATCGTGCGGTGAATATCCCACACTGATCCGCAGTGAATATTCGCTTGGTCGCTACAATCACTGATAAGGATGACATCGATGCGACTTAATGACTACAAAATATTAACTTTTTTCTTTCGACAAATTAAATTCTGAAACATTTTTTTTTAGTATTAGAAAAAATAAATAAAGGTGTTTGAAGTATATCTTGATAAAAAATATTCCATAATTAGCGTAAATAGGTACAGAAAATAGTACGCGGAGGCGGAAAATGGTTAAAACGATATAATTCTGCCCGTACCAGTTCATATTACTACGTTCGATGTAAACAACGCACGTGTGACCATCAATTTGACGTTTTTTTCTGTTTGTTTACTCTGAATTCTTTCAGAAGTACATTTTTTACCGTCTAATCTGATTGACTTGCTCATGTTTGTTGTAAAACAACAAAAACAAGCCACAGAAGTAATCTTTTTTGGCGTTATCGATGCCATCTTGCTTTGTTGGTAAACATTGTGATGTGACGTCACCCTTAGAACTACAGCGGTCTGACCTTTTAAAGGTCAGTCATCTTGGACAGAGATAAAGACGGATGTCGCATTAGGTCTGTAAAACAGATTGTGAATATCCTTGTAGTCTGCTGGTTTATAGTGTGCCAGGTTTCCGTATATGTTAATAAGTCACGTGATATCCTACATTTGCCTTTGAAAGTTGATGCTGTGCGAAAGATGCTATGTAGAAAGCGTGAAGGACAAATGAGATGTGGCAGAGCGCAAATGTAAAATGTAGACACGTCATTAAAAGCATTTTCTAACAAAACATTTGTCATTTGACACTGAAAGGACAATATTGGTGCCAGTCATTATCACATATGTGATAGAGGCGGAACTGGTTAAACACGTTCCAAATATAATTTTAACACAAAGATTATTGCTACGATAGCTGAGTAATACAGGTTTCCTGAATCGGAAGTGACGAACGCTTAAGGAAAACACGAGTCATCCCTCTATATAACTGACTGAAGTGACGAGTGATAACAGGTACATGGGCGAATTTCTGCTCACTAATAATTCCTTCCAAGATCAAAAGTTGTTGTGTGAGACTGTGAGAGGATATCTGACAATTCATAAAAAGAATTGACTGCCACTAGATAAGAGAACACGAAAGAAAAACAGAAAAAGTTCGTGCATTACCATGTTTTTTTATAAGGTATAGAATGAATATAAACAAGGGAATGTACGGACTATTTCTATTTTTCTCGTGTTCTCTTATCTAATGGCATTCAATTACTTTATTGAATTGTCAGGTATCCTCTTACAGTCCCATATAACAACTTTTGGTCTTCGAAGGAATTATTAGTGTGCAGAAATTTGGCCATGTATCTTTTATCACTCGTCACATCACTCAGTTATATATAGAGGGATGACTGCTGTTTTCCTTTGGCGTTCGTCACTTCCAATTCAGGAAATCTGTATTACTCAGCTATCGTAGCAATGATCTCTGTGTTAAAATTATATTTGGGATGTGTTTAACCAGTTCTATCACATGTGTGATAATGACTGACACCAATATTGTCCTTTAACATTTGACGTTTTACATTTAACTCTTGCCTTAGAGGTATTTTGACTTTATCGTTATCGGTATTAGGACTTTGTACTTATTATCAATGGAAACGACATTGTCGCAGAGCATTTAATATTGGCAGCGATACCCTTCCATATCGTAATGCCCTTTAGTTAGAAATTACTCAGTAGCCTAGGGTAATTTTTGTGTTTGTTGACTTTAGTGCAAACGCGTATTATGTTGATGGCCGAGTCTTCTTCTTTTAATTATTGATTTGCCAACCTTGCATTTATCCTTGCACTTATAATCTGTTTTGGTAGAGACAACTACTACCAATATTGTTTTGGTAATATTATACCTGGTATATAAGCCCCCCCCCCAGTTGTTAATATCTTATATGAGTAATAAACTATAACACATACTTATGGAAGAACAATTACTGATTTATTTGGGCGACGTTTCCAAGAGTATTCTCTCAACGTTTTTAAGCAACGTTGAGAGAATACTCTTCGAAACGTCGCCCAAATAAATCAGTAATTGTTCTTCCACAAGTATGTGTTTTAGTTTATTGCTCTATCCAGTTACTAAATGCCTCTAAAAGATCATCTTATATGAGTATTTATATATTATAAAGATCCTGGTTACATTTTCATAACACCCGACTAGTGAACGCATAGGCCCATAAAATTACCCCTTTGAAAAGGAAATAACTCGTGATGAAAACAACATTTTTCTTTCATCGATACTATATTAGACAAGGCTAAAAGGTGAACTACGTGTTCCGTGATGCACGTAATGAAATGAAATTTTTTTAATGGTAGACGTTAACCAGAAAAAAAACAAAAGCCCGTTTTAGGGCATTTCTGAGAAGGGAACATTCATGCGGATTTTTTTCAGGGATATTCCACGTTCAGACAAAATGTATATAATTGGAAACAATTTTATTTTTAGACTATTACCTTGGTGAATCTTAATTAAAAAGCATGCTTTTTTGTTTTTATTACAGCAAATGCGACATCTACTACGACTGGAATTGATAATACACCACTGATAATTGGTATAATTGTTTGTTTGATTGTCGTTGGTGGACTCATTGGTGCCATTATTCTTCATGTTTACAAAAAGAACCAATGGAAAAAGTTTTTACATCAACACTTGGAAGACCCCGATGTATGGAATCCCTCCCCATCTTATCCTGTAACAAGAAAATATTATAAAAATGGAAATTATAATACGCTCAACATCGATATAGACGACGCCCCCCACATACAACAATACGAGTCGATGGATGCATCAGCTGATTCTGTTCGTTGATTAAATTAGGCATGTTAATTATGTTAGGAGCAAAAATCAAATTCCATCAGTATTATAAATTGGCGTTTTCCATAGAATAATATTACACAATCTACATGTCCAGTAATAATAAACCCTATTCATCGGCAAGTTAAACTAATTGATCTCAAGACAACCATTACTTGGAACAGGCAAACGTCATACCAAAATAAACAGATTGTTCTTTTCAAAGGCCATGGACTAATCTAATCAAAGGTGACAGGATATCACGGTGTGTTTATTATATAATGGTTTTGTTACATGTTGTATTCTATTAAATAAAGATAATTATAAATATTACAAATATTCACAAATAAACAATTATTTTTGTTACCAATAATGTTGTTAAATTGGTTATATATTATTAATGATTATGCGATGTGTACGAGATAAACATGTCCATGCGAGGCAGACAATGTGTATCTGTTTTGGTAAACGCGATACCACTTGTCACCGAGGAGTTCGTTGGTGTGGTGCATATTGTGTTGATGTCATTATAATTTTTTTACCGTGATGTCAAAGCTATCTTCTTCTCAGTCTGCATAATATATATTACAGTATATGCAGTTACTATTACAGGTGGGTTGTTGGGGAGCAGGCCAGGGACCTACGAGATAATCGACCCTGGCAGTTACTGGGGACTTTCATATTTCACCTGTACTATTTAAAAGACCCATTTGGCAACGATAGCTGTCATTGTTTATTCTGTAAATTTTTAGTACATATATTTAGATATTAGTGAGATGTATTGGACAATTACAATACTTACAACAATTTGTGGCTGTATATGCTATCATGGTGAACAGTTTTGTCCAAAAAATAACCATGATTTCACATGTGCATACCTGGATTTCCCGTTATTATCGAAAGATCGGAATACGTATGTGTCGTTAGGGCGGCTACAAAGAGTAATCGGAATGGGCAAAAACGCACCGCGTATTAGATTTTGCATGTTAAAGGCCCTCGGGGATATTTTTTGTTTAACTCTGAAATTAAATAGATAGCTAACAATATAATCATTTAGTAGTATTACGGTTCTCCGATACTGTTTAGGCAGGAATTAGTTGAGTGTAAAACACCGAATTGCCCCCAGGGAAAAGTTAAAGTTAAATAACACATCATCTCCTTGACCCCAAACAGTCAAAATTTACGCGGTATTCGTAACAAAACAATGACGCCCACAAGGTTATCAAGACAATCTGAGCTGATTGGACGGTGGTCAGTTTACGGCATGTGTTCTCACGGAGTGTTGTTATGTGAACGTGTCTGTCTTCTAAGCAGTACTCGGAGCAGAACAGTAGGACGTTAAAACCGATTTCATGTCATTTCTAAGCAGTACCTCTTTTCAAATCATAGGGAATAGTTAATGTAAAACTCTACTGAACTCAATCGTAGAACATTCAGTCTTGTTCGATCAACGTTTATCCTTTACAAATAAAAAATACTTCACGTTTCTGGAAGCTACGAGGGAGTTATATTGACGGATAGATTGTAACCGAGTTGAAGTAAGCTGTGCGTGTTTTCTGAAAATTTGTGATATACATGTACAATGGAATTTGAGAGTTCCATGTATCTCTCGCCCTTGACTGTAATATTGGTGGCATTTATCCTCGGACTATGGATAAAATCTTACAAATCGAATGGCAAAAATACCGATGCCCCCGGTCCAAAGGGATGGCCTGTCATAGGTAACCTTTTGCAGCTGGGCAAAAAACCTCACGAAACGTTGACCAGGTTTCGTAAAACTTACGGTGATGTGTATGCCATTAAAATGGGGAGTCGCGAAACAATTGTCCTCAGTGGACTTCAGACAATTCGAGCTGCCTTGGTAAAAAGAGCTGAAGATTTCGCGGGTAGACCAGATTTTTATTCCTTCAAATTCATCGCTAATGGCAACAGTATGGGATTCGGTGACTACGGTCCAAGATGGAAGATGCATCGACGACTGGCTCAGAATGCTCTGGCAATGTTTATCAACAAGAAAAATAACCCTATTGAAGAATCAATCTGTCAGGAAGCTAATGTCTTGGCTAACAACTTGCTGCAAAATGGCAACAATCCTATAGATCCTCATACAGAAATCTATCTATCTGTGGGAAGTATTATTTGTGCTATATGTTTTGGTCAACGTTACAAGAGAGACGATCCTGATTTTCTCCATTTAGTCAAAATGAATGACGAATTTATGGCTTTCGCTGGAGCTGGTAACCCCGTTGACATCATGCCATGGATGAGACATCTGACTCGACGATCCTTTAATAGATTTCTAGGAATTTTAGATTCCATGAACCAGTTCTGCAATAAGAAAAGACAAGAACATTTGGACACATACGATCCGTTTTACACACGAGACGTTACTGATTGCTTAATCCAAGCAGTAGACGAGACTCCCAACGAGGAGAAAGAAGCTGTTGGTTTGACAGATGAACATATATTGACAACAGTACAAGAACTGATCGGAGCTGGATTTGATACAATTGCTAGTACGTTACAGTGGTGTGTTTTATACATGATGACCAACCCACAAATACAGGAAATGGTTCACGGGGAGATTAGGACTAATGTTGGTTTATTACGTTCACCTGAACTGGACGATATGGAAAAACTTCCGTTTACCGAGGCTTGTCTGTTGGAGACGATTCGCATTTCCTGTATTTTCCCGTTTGCCTTGCCGCACAGTACAACTAGAGATACGCAGTTTCAAGGCTATTTTATACCAGATAAGACACTGGTATTTGTTAATATGTGGTCAGTGAGCCACGACGAGACAATTTTTTCAGAACCAAAGAAGTTCGACCCTCATCGATTCTTAACCATCGAAGGTGAAATCGACCGTGCCAAGCTGGATAACTTTTTGCCCTTTGGGGCTGGTAGACGAAAGTGCCCTGGGGAGCAGCTAGCTAAGATGGAGATGTTTTTGTTCTTTGCTACGCTAATGCAACGTTTAAAGTTTTCCCAAGTACCAGAAGACAATGTTATTGTGGACAGTAAATATGGCTTGACACTTAAGCCAATTAATTTCAGCTCGATTGTAACAAAAAGAATATAAAGATGTAACGAGTTTTTTTTTCTCGGTTGTTTTTTTATATATACTCTTCAAAAAAAGTAAGGGATATTCAGAAACAATACAAAACTGTGGAAATGCACTGCTGTCGTGAAATCCAGAGTAAATCTGGGCTCATTTGAGAACATTACACGCGCCCATCAACGATTACCCCAATTTCTACGCTGCCTACACCATTGACGTCTGTTTGCCATGTGCTGGCGAGTTAATGGAGGCACAACACGCGGTCGTCGCGCATGCAAATGGGCTGCATGTAGTCGATTTCTAATCGTTTGGGGTGTAACTCGAATTCCTGTAACTTGGTATAAGTGTACAGAAAGCTGATTGGTCGTTTGTCCTCGATTTCTCAGGACCCGTGTACGAATGTATCGATCCTGGGCTTGCGTAGTGGCTCTAGGACGACCTGAACGAGGTCTATCATCGACATTGTGTGTTTGTTAGTACCGGTTCCCATGGGCGTCACACATGGGGGGGCGAGGCGGGGGTCTGACCCCCCCCCCCCAATTATTTTTCGTGGGGGGGGGGGGGGGGGTCCAAGTATATTCAGCCCCCCCCCCGCAAAAAAATAATAAAAAAAAATTGTTTTTACATAGTAGGCCCTAACTCCTATTTATTTATTACAACAATTATTAGGATTAGTTTAGATTCTATCTGTATAAAACCTCTACATGTACATATCCCAATATGCATACGGCACCCCCACCCCTAAACATGATAAACACTGTATTGGTGTGATGTTTTAGTAACCCCGTAAAATATACCAAAAACAGTGTTTACAGAAGATTGAAACTTTAAAAACGCTTTATGTAGGTGCCCCCCCCCCCCCTCCAGACTGTGACACATTAAGTTGGTTACTGCCCCCCCCCCCCCAGTGAGAGGGTGACCCTCCCACACTCTCCCTATTGCGCTACATCGGCTGCTGCACAGTCTCGTGCCTCCGGCGTCACAGATTGTCAACATTTTATATAATTTCATTTGCGGACCCCCCACCCCCATATATATTTCACGGCTACACCTCTGCCGGTTCCACAGTCTGCTGATCACAGACTGTGCCACATTAAGCATGTTGGCTTCTGCTCGCTGTGTAGAACTATGGAAGCCTATAACTACCATTCATAATTTCTACTTTTCGCCTCTTCAAAACTTGAAAGTCGAAAAGTCGAAAAGTAGAAGTTACGACAAAATGTGAGGCGACAACACGGTATACAAGCCAAAATCAACTCGAAAATAGGAGTACGACAGTAAGCCAAAATGATAGGTCGCTAATAGCGTGTGTGTTTATTTCCTAATTTCTACTTTTCGAGTTGCATTTTGGCGGGGAATCCGCCGGAAAATCTGGATGAACTTTCTCGGCCAATGCAGGGATCGAACACCCGCCCTCCAGACTGGCTTAACATCCACTCGTTGCAAACTAAATCATTTCAATAATTCGTTTGCACGTAGGGGTCTTTAGCTGGATAGAAGCTGGGGTATCCGGAGAAAACCCACAAGGTTGGACAAGCGATCCTACTCTCTTGTCATGTTTAAGCGGTGAATCGAAACCACACCACTTGAATCAATGTCAGACCTTGTGATTTCACGCGCACGTGTTAAACCACTAGACCACCCAATCCCCATGTATGTTGTTGTATATTGTATATATCGGTACGGGAAATTTGTTTTATAATAGGCCTATATAATAAATTAAATTGTTGTAACCTAAGGTGACATTTTTGGCAGATAAAATATCCCAGTTGGCGGAAAAAAATATGAACATTTTTTTTATATAAAAATTATTATCCATTTTGACGGAAAATAATGAAATACAGTGTGAACCCTGATAGCACGTATTCAAATGCGACCTGGAAAACTGAGACTACAACAACTTCCGAGGCGGAAAGTCGCTAATAGCGTGGTGTGTGGTGTGTTGACATCAATAAATACAAAAATATGACTAAGTCGAAAGTCAACAACGGTATACAAGCCAAAATGCAAGTCGAAAATAATAATTAGGAAAAAACGAGGGGCGCTATTATCGCTGTGTGTTATTTCTTAATTTCCTATTTTCGAGTTGATTTTGGCTTGTATACCGTGTTGTCGCCTCACATTTTGTCGTAACTTCTACTTTTCGACTTTCGTGTTTTGAAGAGGCGAATAGTAGAAATTATGAATGGTATTTATAGACTTCCATATAGAATCCATTTGAAGCATGCCAATAGCGCGTAGACGTTCATCATGTTGAAAACGTCTCATTACAAATTAAACGTAACACACTAAACAAAGATACGCTAAACAGTAAATATTTTGCAAGAACCGAAAGGAAAGCAAACATGGATAGGATAAATCAGCACTCGGCAGTTTTCATCAACCCTTCTTTGAAGTGTTAAATTTGACAATCAACCCATCCCACGTGTATGGCGCTATTGCGTGTCGCATGTGAAGCGCAGTGGTTCTGTTGGGGCGATAAGTTCATCTGTGAACATACTCTCAAAGCATGCCAATTTAAGTGTCCATGACTATTTACCTATCACAACCTGCATAGGTATTTGTATTTCAATATCCCCTATTTCTTATATTTAAGGGATAGGTCCGGTCTATGTGGTTAATTATATTTTCCTCCAACAACAGGGTGGGCTCGGGTAAATTGGGATAGAACTCAAGGATCACCCACTAGCGCGCATCGCGCCCTATAAAGCTCGCGCGCGGCAAACTGGGCTCTCAAATTTTAGTCCATATGGGCAGGCCTACCCGCCTTTTAGTTTTGCAAAACACACCTGCCCAGTGGGATTTAAGTAGCTGTCTCAGGAGGCGCAAAACCAAACGATCGTAGGTCTGAAGATAGCGAGTAAACCCACTTTTCAGCACCAACCAGACTTATGAAAACGGACATCGGTTTTTCGTCTCGGGTCCTTCTTTTTTCGCCACTATCACGAGAAGCAATGCTAGGAATTTCCCCTCCTTACAAACACCCGGTAGACACGGCACTATTCAAGGAGCTGTTGGTAAACGTGGCAGTTTTAATATACATCGAGGTACAGTGACAGCAGTGTTGCCGTTCTAAAGATGATCGTCATAATATTTCTTCAATAATATAATACATTTATTAAGAATATGGAACATTCTAACAAAGTTGAACAAAAAACAAACAAACTTTTAGGAAGGGTGCTGTTATTACAATTTTGTCCGAAATTTAATTTTTCATGACAATGTTCAATTTTTTCAATGTGATAAAATATATTTTAGAGACATTCGATGAGATGTATCACGTTCTGCAAATGCACAAATCTCGGGGAACTTTATCTATACCAACAACTGGATGAATGGAACCCGGATCTCCGATGATTATAGTGATCCAGTGAAAGATGGTGATGAAGCGTGCACTGAAGTGTGTACCAATTCTCAGATGTATAAAAGTATTTATAACTGTTTAAATAGTTTAGAGCAAAAAATTATCTTCCACAATGTTAATAGGCGTACGATGACAGAGTGGCAGAACCCGAAATACCCGAAAAAATTTCGGGTTTACAGACAGTGGCGCCGGTCTTGGAATATTTGACGGCCGCAAAAAGAAAAATTAAAAATGCCGCAAAAGCGTTTTCCTGCTATTGCAGCCCGTGAATACATCAACTTCAATGTGGTCCAGTAGAGCCTATCTGGCTAACCTGAATCCCAAAGAACCAATCAATCGTCGCGGGGTGTGGGGGCTTCACCCTCCAGGAGAAAATTTTGAAAATTTAATTCTAGCCGGTGAGTTAAGCAACTCCAAAGTTGTCCAATGGTTTTGTAACCGACTTGAATTACAACTATCCAATCAGACTGTTGCAGCTACATTCACAAATAATAGTCGCTGACCGAAAAATGTTTTAATCTATAGTCAATTCAGTACAAATTAGTGGTATTCAATTAAAAGAAAAGTAAAATTAGTGTTTTATTAGATTTCGGGCACTTTATTGTTGAAATAAAATTCTTTTTTACACTTTCACTGTACCCTTTTTCCCCGTATTCTCGTATGCCTATGTTTGGAGATGTGAACATATGCTATTATAGAATACATAGTTTGATAAATACATAAACACGGCGTTTTAAAACCTGTTTAATTATTCGGTATTATCATTTCGGTAACTCCCACACTCCCGGTGTTATTTCGGTTTGTTTCGGTATATTGATGATTTGTTGACCACCTAAAGTAAAACTAAACAAAACTAGTGGATATTTAAGAATCCACATGGTTTATCATCTGGCGTTAGAAATAATTTAAAAATCGGCAGAAAATAATTTCACTCAAACAGGTCATTGATTTTACTGTTTGAGTGTTTTAGAATAAGAGCGTGGCACAGAGTATTTTTACTCTGTGAACGTGGTCAATGGTATCGTTGTTGTTAGTTGTATTTTACGTCCGCTTCCACCGAGGTGATATCGCAGACAAAATGGTATCACAGATTTATGACTGACCTTTAAAGGGTCAGACCGCTGTAGTTCGAAGGGTGACGTCACATCACAATGTTTACCAACAAAGCAAGATGGCATCGATAACGCCAAAAAAGATTACTTCTGTGGCTTTTTTTGTTGTTTTAAAACAAACACGAGCCGGTCAATCAGATTAGACGGTAAAAAATGTACTTCTGAAAGAATTCAGAGTAAACAAACAGAAAAAAACGTCAAATTGATGGTCACACGTGCGTTGTTTACATCGAACGTAGTAATATGAACTGGTACGGGCAGAATTATATCGTTTTACCCATTTTACGCCTCCGCGTACTATTTTCTGTACCTATTTACGCTAAATATGGAATATTTTTTATCAAGATATACTTCAAACCCCTTTATTTATTTTTCTAATACTAAAAAAAAATGTTTCAGAATTTAATTTGTCGAAAGAAAAAAGTTAATATTTTGTAGTCATTAAGTCGCATCGATGTCATCCTCATCAGTGATTGTAGCAGCCAAGCGAATATTCACTGCGGATCAGTGTGTTATACTATTTGTAACTCTATGCGGGGTATTAATTTTCTGCTGGCCTGCACAACTATGAATCTACTTCCGGTTAAAATTTCAACATGAGTGCAAGATACGATCGTGCTATCACAGTATTTTCTCCCGATGGACACCTTTTTCAGGTTGAATATGCACAAGAAGCTGTCAAGAAAGGGTCGACAGCTGTAAGAACATATTCGTATACTTATTTCTGGTATTGTCACGGTTCTCATTGTCTGTAGCCTACTGTAGACGTAGTCGTGACTGAAATTGTTCGTAATTGCTAAGTCATGATAAACAATCAAAGTGAAGCACAGCGAACAGACAAATAAAATAGTTCTAGTATTAAAGTAGCTAAGTTTTTAACCCAGTAGGCCTATCATCCACAGTCTTCGACTTTGCAAACACGACTTATTGGTTAATTAAATTCCGTTATTTTCCGTTTCAGAGCTGACCATATTCCGTTTTTCGAGATAAAATGTTATTTTATGAATAAATGAATAAAACATCTTAAAATGCCTTTTATTACAAAACGGATCATTTTAAACCAGTGATAACAAATGTAGAATTGTGAATGACTTGTTTAAACCTGTTTCCCGAATTAAATAACAGAAAATTACATCTTGTGAGCTCGTTTCATCTTTTCAGCAGACGAAGCCATTTTTCCCAGCTGCTAGTTGTAGTTGCGATTTATCCAGACATCTTCGTAGTTACTACCGTTTTTCGAGAATAAGGGATGGATTCACAAGGCTACAGCATATTTGTGATGTCACGTGGTTAATGCGGATAAACACGAGTCATGAGCCCGGCAGTAAAATAAGAAGTAAATGAAACGATTTTTACTTTTATGAAGTGACAAAAGTTTTTTTTAAGACATATATATACATTACAATGTTTAATTCAAGTTCAACTACAGAGTAATTGTATACAGGGATACATGAAAGAAGGGTTTTCGTTTCGAGTAAAATTATGATTCCTAAATGATGAAATGAAAGTAGCTAAATACTAAAATAGACAGAAACAAAACCACGCGATATCATTCAATATTTCCGATTTTTATGAATAAAAAGATGAAATACTTGGATAACTGCAAAATTGTTTTGAGTTTGTGTTAAGTATCTATCAGCAAATATCGGTTTTTCCGTGTGAGATTTCAAATTCCGCGATTTCCGCGTTTTTTCCGCGATCACGGAAAATCATCACCCCTACATTTCTTACTCTTAGATAATAGTTCTGATTTGGGGTAAAATAGTATAATTTGTATCTACTTGTCACTTCGCTGTGGGGACCGCTGAATCGATCCAGTACTAAACCATATTAGAAATTGGTCACTTGATTGGTGAGGAAGAATTCGTTTAATTGTGGGTTAACAGGCTGTATAGGATCGATGAATCGATTCACCACAGTGGGTTAATTCATTCCGTAGTTTGAGAAATAGACTTTGGCGTATAAATGTCATGATTTCTGTTTAAATAGGCAAATCAATCATTGAGACATTAAGGGCACACGTCACATTTGCAGAATCCATTGTTGTTTAATTTGCAATGCTCCCAAAGTCGGGGTCAAAATAGTCTAGGAGAATCTTCTTACTTTCTAGTCTGCGTTCGGCTTTCTCCTTTCCGCTGAGAAATGTGCAAGGCAAGGTATACTGAATAGCAAAAAAAACGTCTGTACGATTTCAAAATCAGAGTGACACTTTAATCAAATCATTCTAGAAAACAGCTTACTAAATGGATCAAAGCACTTTTTTGTGAACAGTATGTTGACACATTAGTGATTAATTCGTCACAATTCCAAGACATTACGAGAAGGTTTAGATTCTGTACACAGTCTATACATCAGTATCTGGTGTGTCCACTGCGAGTGTCAATAACAGCAGCGCAACGTCTGTACATGGAGTGGACCAGACGATTGATGAACGCCATTGGCACCTGTAACCACACTCTCAGAAAAGCCTGGCGCAATCCATCGGCTGTGTTTGGTCTCGGTACAGCGTTATTAAGTCTTCTGACTCTCCTCTGAATTTCATCCCAAAAATGTTCAATCAGGTTTAAGTCCGGACTAAGGGGTGGTCAGTGCATAACGTTGACACCGTTCTACTGTAGAAAGTCTCAAGTATCTCTAGTTGTGTGGGCATTGTCATGCTGGAAAACGTTGTTTCGGTGACGTGTGTGAAATGTGGTATGACGTGGGGTCTGAGAGCTTGATCGATGTAGCGCACTCAGGGGCGTAAATGTGGGGGGGTGGTACGCCCCCCCCCCCCAGGAAGAAAAATAGTCGGTCGCAAAATCAGTGCAGTCGGTCCCAAAATAAGAGCAGTCGGTATCAAAGTGCTCACTGCATACGTTTTGCTACTCACGCAAAACTTTCGTATAAAATAACCTTGTGATCTTAACATGTTTGAAAAATGTTGTGTTTCACTCTTATTCTGTTGTGAGTATGTTGGTCTATGAACAAAATTTCCCCCAGGGAGAAAAACAGTCGGTCTCAAAATAAGTGCAGTCACTGCAGTCAGTCTCAAAATTATGCATCGGCGACTCAATGAATTAATAAGGTAAACAATCAATGCCAGAATAGATCCCAAATACTATGTATTTGAGTGAATCTGTGAGCCTAAATTGCATATGTCACACAAAACTATAGTATAAAATAACCATGTCTGCTTGTCATGTTTGAAAAAATGTTTGTCACTCTTATTCTGTTGTGAGTATGTTGTTCTATGAAATGTTTTCCCCCATGGCAAAAAATTAGTCGGTCTCAAAAAAAGTACTCACCGCAGTCGGTCTCGCTCGGACTAAATGAATTAATGAGGTAAACAAACAATTACAAAACAGGCGAAATTGACAGATAGGCCACAAGATAATGTCTCATTTCTTACTTTCGTTAGCGAGAATTTGGTTCCATTTGCTATGACAATGAATAAAATTTTCAGGCCCAGTCCCAAAAATTAAAAGCTTGGTTACATATCTGATTTTTTTCGTGCCTGCGGCGCTCAATTCCATTATAACATTATTCTTCTATTCCTCTGTTTTCTTATACTATCTCAGCACTTTCATATTGACGGTTATAGTGAACTGCCCAGATATACTGGTGTGTGTGTCATGGGGCATCAGACTATACAAATGTTATGCCAACTCTTGCAAAACAGGCGGAATTGACAGGGGCAGATCTCGAGATTCTGTCCCATTGGCTCACATTTCTGGTCCGCTCGTCCACAAGACTTTCTCCCAGCAATGACCTCAAAGAAGCCTTATTGCTCAGGTAAAGTTGGAGATGTGGTCACAAATATACAATAAAAACATTTGGCAAGTTTTTTGCAATGCGTCTATTCAGAGTAACATACCAACCTGACGTTTCTTTTACCCAAGATCATGTAACACAACCAAGTGGAATAAGACACACCCACAGTTCCTGCCAATCATAAACACATGCAGCCAATAGACAACAATATAAATATGAATGGAAATGTACATAATAACTAAAGAGTTTTTGAAAATGTACAATTAAAGTAAATAACTATTAATTACTAACAGAAAACTAAGTGATAAGTCGTTTAAACTGAAGACGTGGATCGGGCTATGAACGTACGCTTCAGATCACCACAATATGAAGCAAACGGCAGACCATTTGTCGCTATTTTACTTTTTCTTACGTTTCTCACCAATGGTGATAATATAATTTGAAATAATAATATCCATTATATAGGCATGCTTCTATATTTTACATGCCGTATGAAACCACGTTCAACTATCAAAATATTTATTTCACTTTGAAAAAAATTGATGGCCATTTTGAATATTTCCATTTATTCATTTTTATACGCCCACATTTTCATGTGGACGTATTATGCCGTCGCCCCTGTCCGTCCGTTCGTCCACAATTGTTTGTGGACTCTCTACAGGTCACAATTCTTATCCGATTTTGACGAAACTTGAAATATAGGTTTATCCCCAAAAGATCTCGGCTGCTTTCGATATTGGCATGTATCGGATCGAAACTTCATGGATTATGGCCCCTGATTGTACGAAAAATCTAGTTTTTAGCTTGTGGACCCTATAGAGGTCACAATTTTTATCCGATTTTTTTTAAACTTGAAATGTAAGTTTATAACCCAAAGATCTCGGTTCCTTTCGATATTCGCGCACATCGGATTGTAACTTCCTGAATTATGGCCCCAGATTGTACAAAAAATCACGTTTTTAGTTTGTGGACCCTATAGAGGTCATAATTTTTATCCGATTTAAAAAACCTTGATTGTAGGAAAAATCACTTTCTTCTTAGCTTGTTCTCTATCCACCTCTCGAAAATGTGGGCGTATCCTGCCTGGCAGCCGCTGTTTTTTTTTAGACGAAACGAAACATCAAGTAATCAACGCTTGGATTAATCATTAGGAGTAAATAGTGACTTGAGAAAGATATATATATATATATCATTGGCAATTCTCAATCAACTAATGATTAATCCAAGACAATTGGTTAGTATTACTTATTGACATGATCCGGATAATTAGTGAGTTGATTAATTTATAGTATGCCGTCATGTGATTGTGATTGACACTCGATGTAACGGTTAATCTAGGCTATAACAATTTCCTAATATTTTTCAGCCAGTTCCGAAAAAGAATTGCCAATACCCCATAGTGTTGTCGCTAAAATCAATTTTTAATCGCCACTTTCATATTTTTATTGCAAGTTGCGACTTTGGCGACCGACAGCATGAGTCCTGTGAATTCTTTTTCCTGAAACATTTAAATACAATTAAGAATATATTTCATTATTTCATACCTGGTTAATTGGCAAGAGTAAAGTATTACTTCCGCGAATATTTCTGTAAATGTTTGATAGAAATCTTTGATGAAAATTGAAAACAACCGATGTTAAAAACAGATGTAATCAATGTGCTGAAATTTAGTGTTAAATGCAACGACTTGATTTCTAAATCATGCCGTTGACATGATTTAGTATTCGAAAACTAGGACTCAAAAATCTTTTTTATCAAAAATATTTCTGTGTGATGTCGGATAATTATTTTAAATAATTTATATTGATAATTTTATTGATCTTTTGTGCTTTCTGAGGTGTTACGGATAGGGTCTGCGTAAATAAATTTGATTTTTTAAAAAACGTCTTAATGTGTTTCATGTCATGGTTGCCTTTCAAACATGTCAATGTACAAAAGGACAGGGATGTATCCCTGAAAGCCTTTTTATCTTGACCCTTTGGTTATAAAGAGGGAGCCACGGTGGCTCAGTGAGAAAGACGTTGGCTTGCTAACCTGGAGGTCCTGTGTTCAATTCCGGTATTTGCCGAGAAAGTTCTTCTGGATTTTCCGGCATGGTCCCCCTTTGTAAGTGGTGTAGAACGGAGGGCCTGGCAAGGGACAATGTGCCTGTCATATGCCTGTCTTCATTAGCCCAGATTGAGCAGAACAGTAGGATGTTAAACCCTATTTCATTTCGGTTACAGAAATATGACTCCATACGACAAGAATGTTACATTACACATGTAACGTCAGTCAGCTTCATTAGCACTGAAGTGTCTTGACTATATCTCGGGTTCTCTGGCAAATACTGTTAAAGGGGGTCTATTCTTGTGGTACCCATTTTAAAACCATTTAAAAATGTAGAAAACAATAATTTATAGATTTTCTGAAGAATTTATGGAACAAAAATAAATACTTGTTATATTTTTCATCTTTTTCTACTGTTTTCATCGCTATTACTGCTTGTCACATAACGTTACCGTATAAACATTATTGGTTATATAGTAATATTGTTATTCTAGCCATTATGACTGTTGCCCCAATAACGTCATTATGATAAGTTAATGTCATGTGACAAGCCAAAATACAAAATATTTATATAATAAAAAAAATAATAATGAATATAATTTAAAGGATTTAATAGTCTTTTGTGATTTGAACAAAAAAGAATAGCTTCTCTTAAACTCAATAGCTGGTTATTGTTCATTTGATTTGCTTCTTGAAATGCTTATATCAAAGGTATTGAACTGATATAAGATATTTAGATCAGCATGTAATAAAACTAGACATAATGTGAAATTCATACATTTCATTTTGAAATTTTCTCCATATTTTAGGTTGGTGTAAGAGGGAAAGATATAGTTGTTCTTGGTGTAGAAAAGAAAGCTGTTGCTAAATTACAAGAAGATAGAACAGTAAGAAAGATCGCCTTATTGGATGAACATGTAGCTTTGGCATTTGCAGGTAATTTGTTTAAATCCTTATATTTTTTATATGACGAGTGGTTCATGCACAGAACCAAAATCCAATAAACAAGCTTAATTTGGGGCTTATTTTAACAAATATGATAAGACTTACCATTAAAATCATCATTTATGAACAATTAGCCTATTGCTAAGTTGGATATTTATTTGATTTAACCATTTGAATGGGACTTTCTAATATGTAGTCCAAATGTCTATCATTGCATCCAAAATTCCGTATAAGAATCTACTTAGAAGTCAAAAATGTGACTCCTACATTGCGCTCCAAACTGTGTTATAAAATTTAGCACAAACCGTAAATCAATTGAACCCATTTCAAGGTGGAACTGCATGCTTTTTGATATGGTTGGGCAATTTGAGGCTCCAGATAATCTAAAAATAGAAGTCGATACGTGACAATGCGTCTCGAAAAATTCTTTGATCTGTTATATGACGGTAAAATTCTGTTATTAAAAACAACCAGCATGAAAATGACTACATAATAAATTGGAAGTTCTACAATAAGGATATTTTAGTGAAATGTTAGATTAATTTAAGTTTAAATATATCCTTTGTGTTTGAATTACCACTTAAACATACATTATGCAAGAGCTAAATCTGCCTATTGTGGGTCTTTCTTTAGGCCTGAAATGTTACAGTATATAAACTATTAATTAGACATTAATTAAGGTATCCAGACCATAATCAACTCTTGATGGCAACGCTAGCCTGCAATCTATAGTGGATTATGCTCCGATTTGCTGCATAACATTCCTTCTAGATTTAACGATTAAATGGATAATTGAGACTTATGATTTTTGTCTTACCGACTTTAGTAATGATGACCGAGGCTATGTGGAACTTTCGATCGCTTATTTCTCGGTTCATAGTGGATCAATTTGAAATTTTCAGCAAATTGTCTTTACATTATTTAGTTTTATACGCCCACATTGAAATGTGGTCGTATATTGTTGTCGTCCCCGTCCGTTTGTCCGTTGTCCGGCTTCCACAATTGCTTGTGGAAACTCTAGAGGCTAAAGTTAATATCCGATTGACTTAAAATTTATATACAGTGTTTAAGGCCATGAGACGAAGAAGCCTATTGATTTTCAGCGATTTCCGATAATTACTGCCAGAGTTATGGCCATTGATCACTTCAAAAAATCTTGTGGACGCTCTAGAGGCTAAAGTTAATATCTGATTGACTTTAAATTTATACACAGTGTTTAAGGTCATGAGACGAAGAAGCCTATTGATTTTCAGCAATTTCCGATAATTACTACCAGAGTTATGGCCCTTGATCACTTTGAAAAATCTTGTGGAAGCTCTAGAGGCTAAAGTTAATATCCGATTGACTTTAAATTTATACACAGTGTTTGAGGCCATGAGATCAAGAATCATATTGATTTTCAACGATTTCGGATAATTACTGCCAGAGTTATGGCCCTTGATCACTTTGAAAAATCTTGAGGACGCTCTATAGGCTAAAGTTAATATCCGATTGACTTTAAATTTATACAGTGTTTGAGGCCATGAGATCAAGAATCATATTGATTTTCAACGATTTCAGATAATTGCTGCCAGAGTTATGGCCCTTGATCACTTTGAAAAATCTTGTGACACTCTAGAGGCTAAAGTTATCATCCGAATGACTTCAGATTGATACACAGAGTTTAAGGTCTTGAGACGAACAAGTATATTGATTTTAAATTAATCTTTATGACTTGAACAGCTAAATCCATGATGTTAAAAGTTTTGTACACTAAACGTTAGCATGGGGCAGAACTTTATAAAAACCAGACAAATTCTAATGGTTTTCTGATAATTACTTAATGAGTTGTTACTCTTAATCAGATTTTAATGTATTATAAAAGAAAAAATATGCGACAACTCTTGTTGACTGCCCGGACGATATAGCTGCTGTGGGCGTATGTTTCGTTGCCTGGCAACCTATCTTTAACTATTATAGTGAGAACTGCCAACTCGTTATCTAATCTCCCATAATGTATCTTTAATGGTTGGTTGTGTCGTATTATGCTCATCACCACCACTAAATATTTCCCGTTATATTTACCCCTTTCCAAGTGGGGAGTATATCGCATGTTATTATACGAATCAATAATTATATATATCGAGGTTACAGAGTTTTACTAGGAGAGACTGTCATTTCCTCTTATCTAAAAGCTCAGTTCTGATTAGTTTGATCCAAGATTATTTATTTTATATGTAGGAACTTATCCTGCCAGATTTTTACATTCAATCCCCCGCCCCTGCGCCGCACCGTTCGAGAAATTTTTTTTCCTTTGCGTGTCCTAAATCAGCCACCGTATCCAAGTCTCTGGTTGTACGTGACAAGGAGTAGGGTCGCCTCATCAACCTCGTGGGTTTTCTCCGGGTCCTCCGGTTTCCTCCCACTGCTAAAGACCCCTACGCGCAATCAAATTATTGAAATAAAATTAAACCATATGTTGGTCCCGAAATGACCTACTTTGTGTCGAGTGGACGTTAAACCCATCTCTCTCTCTCTCTCTCTCTCTCTCTCTCTCTCTCTCTTTCTCTTTCTCTCTCTGAAATTAATTTTACTAGTATCTGCTGATGAAGTCTCGTCAGCTATCCCTGGAAAAAATGGGGTGTCAAGAAAATCGTTGTGTGCTTTTGTAAATTTTTGGGACTTAGCCTTACTTTTACCCAGCTTCCTAGTCTTTGTCTTCAGTCTGGCAAGTCTATTTTGAATTTGTTTGTCACCAAATGTCACACACTCGTCATGTAAAGCAGTTATGATAAACCGATGCTCCGTAGTTGTCGGGAATTTATTAACAATGCCTAGTATAAGCCATTTTGTGATTTTTCCCATGGGTAATTTGGTTACCAAGCACAAATCATAGGGGTACTTGTCCAGTCCAATGCTGGATAGCAATTCATCGGTGGACGCCATCTTGCAGGGCCTAGTCTCAGATCTAGAAAAAACCCAACTAAGTCCGCCGATCAAGGCTTAAGTCTACACAATGATTAAATAAGATACTATGATTATAAAAATAATTTACGCCAAGTTACCGAAAAGTGTCTGGAAAATAAAGACTACAAATAAAAATTTTGTTTCGGTTATGATCCGGTCTCAAATAGTTCTGCGTATTTAGAGCTAGCAAATATTTATTTCCTATCATAAAGAGAGCGCCGCATAAACAAAGGTTGTAAACACTAAATAAAAGTAAATTCCAAAATGTTGTAATGGGTTTATCTTGGCGAGCTAGCTCTGTACTGAAATCGCCCAAATCAAAAATTAAATCAAAGAATGCAATCGAAATTTTTGCTCACGTTCGCCATTAAATAAACACGCAAGTCGAAGTGCGTGATGAGTGTATTTTTTACTCGGCTTTATGTACCAATACATGTTTGTAAAATACCTTGTGTGACGTATATTTGTTGCGACCTTCAAACTCAAGTTCGCAGGACTAAACTTTGCTCACTTCAGAAAATTTCTCGAAGGTGCAATCAGACAGTTAAAGTAGGTCAGTTTTTATAAGGAGCCTCTGAACCACTCTATTATATGGTTAGTTTGTGGTTTGTCACCATGATATGGCAATTTGACTGTTATATTACTTCACTTTTGATTCTTGGTCATCCTGGTCAGAGCCGATCTGTGAATCCTTTTGAATAATGAACCATCTTGATAGGTGAATTAGATGGCTTTGTTTGTAACAAATATCTCACTGGCTCACTGACTGGGAGCTCTGGACGTGTTGGTCAAAAAAGTTCCCCAGGATTTTCATGTGTGGTTTCCCCTTTTCAGTGGTGCAGGACGGATAACATGGCAAGGAACATTGTGTAATGGGTCAGGGAGGCATGTAAAAAAAAAAAGAACCTTTTACTTTTGGAATTAATTGCTGTCTTGGCAAATTTCCCTCATAGCACACTGTTTGCTCACCGGCGGTAGGGCGTTCAATCCCATTTCATTCTCTTCTTGGGGGTTGATTGTTTGTAGTGGATAGTTCTTTCAAAAGTAAATTATTTATTTATATATTTCATTTTTTTTTTAGGATTAACAGCCGATGCTAGAATATTGATTAACCGTGCTAGAATAGAATGTCAAAGTCATAAGTTATCAGTAGAAGATCCAGTTACATTAGAATATATTACACGTTATATAGCACAGCTAAAACAGGTTTGTATGTTCTTTGTATGTTTACATGGAGGGTTGGATGGCTGAATGGTTAGCACATGCGCGCTGAATCATAAAGTCTGTCATTGAGTCAACTGGCATGGTTTCGATTCCCCGGATGTACGTGACAAGGAGTAGGGTCGCCTGTCCAACCTTGTGGGTTTTCTCTGGGTCCTCCGGTTTCCTCCCACTTCTAAAGACCCCTACGCGCATGCGAATTATGGAAATAAAATTGAACCATATGTTTGTCCCGAAATGACCTAGTTTGTGTTGAGTGGACGTTAAACCCCATTTCTCTCTCTCTCTCTCTGTATGTTTACATTTGATAATCTAACTTGAACAAGATTATACATGGTTAAGAAAAAGATATTTTTTTTATGCACCCACATGAAAATGTGGTCTACAGACTACATTTTATCATCTGATTGTTTTGAAATTGATAGATGTTGTTTACATCACTCAGATGAAGAAACCTATTTGATTTCAATAATTTCTGTTAATTTCTTCTGGAGTTATGGCCCTTGTTTCACTTTATTGCTCCTTGTGAACACTCTAACGACAAAAATTGTTATTCGATCTGTATGAAATTTATATGCATCCTTTAACGACAAAAGTTATCATCTGATCTGTATGAAATTTGCATGCATCAATCAAATTAGTGAAACAAAGATGCTCTAGCGACAAAAGTTATCATCCGATCTGTATGAAATTTATATGCGTTATTTGAATTAGTGAAACGAAGAGGTCTATTGAATTTCAGCAATTTCCGTCAATTGCATCTAGAGTTGTGGACCTTGTTTCACTTTGAACATTGTGAACGCTCGAACGACAAAAGTCATCATCCAATCTGTATGAAATTTATATGCATTATTTAAATTAGTGAAACAAAAAACTCTGTCATATTTCAACAATTTTTATATGCCCACATTTTCATGTGGAGGTATATTGTCGTCGCCCCTGTTCGTCCAGACGTCCGTTCACAATTTGTTTGTGCACACTCTACAGGTCACAATTTTTGTCCGATTTTGACGAAACTTAAAATATAGGTCTATCTCCCAAAAAACTTGGTTCCATTCGATATTGGCATGTATCGGACCATAACTTCATGGATTATGGCCCCTGATTGTACAAAAAATCACGTTTTTAGCTTGTGGACACTCTAGAGGTCACAATTTTGATCGGATTTTGATGAAACTTGAAATGCATGTTTATAGCTCAAAGATCTATGTTCCTTTCGATATTCGCGCATATTGGATGGTAACTTCCAGAATTATGGCCCCTGATTGTACGAAAAATTGCGTTTTTAGCTTGTGGTCCCTCTAGAGGTCACCATTTTTATCAGATTGAAAAAAAAAAATTTCAAGTATATCACCGTTACACCCTAATGATGGTTTAGTTCGAATTTTGTGAAAATCTGACCAAAACTGCTGGACAAAATGGCCGCCCCGTGTACGCAAACAGTGTAAAATATGATATATCAAGGTTGTGGACCCTCCAGAGGTCACAATTTTCATCCGATTTTGATGAAACTTGGAATGCATGTTTATATTCCAAAGATCTTGGTTCCTTTTGATATTCGCGCATATCGCATCCTAACTTCCTGAATTATGGCCCCTGATTATATGAAAAATCACGCTCTCAGCTTGTGGTCTTTTTATCCGATTTAAAAAAACGTTTTAATATATCATTGTTACACCCTAACGATAGTCGAGTTTGAATTTTGTGAAAATTGGACCTAAACTGTCGGACAAAATGGCCGCCCCTTGTACGCAAATAGTGTAAACATCTGGTATATCTTGGTTGTGGACCTCCTAGAGGTCACAATTTTGATCCAGTTTTGATGAAACTTGAAATGCATGTTTGTAACCCAAAAGATCTTGGTTCATTTTGATATGCGCGCATATCAGATTGTAACTTTCTGAATTATGGCCCCTGATTGGACGAAAAATCATGTTTTTAGCTTGTGGATCCTATAAAGTTCACAATTTTTATCCGATTTAAAAAAAACATGTGAATATATCACTGTTATACAATAATGATGGTTGAGTTTGAATTTCTTGAAAATCAGAAAAACTGACTGACATAATGGCTGCCTTTTGTACACAAATAGTGTAAAAATATCGTATATCAAGGTTGTAGGCCCTCTAGAGGCCACAGTTTTTATCCGATTTGGATGAAACTTTAAATATATGTATATGTTTTTATCATAAAGATCTTGGTTCCTTTTGATAATTACACATATCCGAACGTAACTTCCTGGGTTATGGCCCATGATTGTTCGAAAAATCGCATTTTTAGCTTGTGGATTCTCTAGAGGTCACAATTTTTCAAAAACAGTTTAGATATATCACCATTCCACCATAATGAAGGTTGAATTGGAATTTCGGAAAAATCGAAATGAAACTGACCGACAAAATGGCCGTTCTTTGTATTGTACGCAAATTGTGTATAAGTATGTAATACAAAGGTTGTGGACCCTCTAGAGGTCACAATTTTTATCCGATTTGATAAATCTTTATATTCTATATTCAGTCCCTTTTGGTCTGCAAATTTCAGACCATAACTTTCTGGATTATGGCCCCTGATTGTTCAAAATATCGTTTTTGTTTTTAGCTTGTTCTCTATCCATCTCTTGCTAAATGTGGGCGTATCCTGCCTGGCAGCCGCTGGTTGTATATTTCTTCCAGAGTTAAGGCCCTTGTTTCAGTTTGTAGCACCTTGTGAACTCTCAAAGAACGATAAATTATAATCTGATCTGTATGAAATGGGCTTGTAAATGCCCCCTATTACCTACAAAAGATTAAATGTGTGGCAACCCTTGTTGACCGCTCGGATGATTTAGATGCTGTGGGTCTATGTTTCGTTGCCTGGCAACCTATCTTTTACTTTTTATGTTCTGATATGTAGACTGTCCATGTTGGTTATTAAAAACCTGTTCATATTTTTTTACAATGTTAAAGATGCATTATGTAACATTTAGATAAAGAACTGGCCATTCATACTATAACATTTGAAGCTAAAATAAACAAATTTAGCTCTTACATAATTCATCTTCAATACAGAAATATTACGATGAATCAGGATCAATTAAAAGTAACCAGGAGAATATTATTTATCAGATCTAAATTTATTTCATGAAGAATCTTGCTTTATTCTTTGAAATTTCTCAGTGTAATATGCTGGTATCGATTCAAATTTGTTTTTTGGGTAGATACATTTTACTTTTTCATTTTTCCTATATAGTCCACCTGAACGTGGGCACCTGAATGGGGGTTGTAGGCTTAGTTCCCACTTGTACCAGGCAACATTTTATCCAACTGACTCTCATGCCAATCCATTCTATATTTAGGGAAAAGTGGAAGATTTATGTTCTTAATTTATATGCTATTTATTTCAGAAATTTACACAGAGTAATGGACGCAGACCATTTGGTTTATCAGCTTTATTAATTGGGTTTGACATTGACGGAACACCACATCTTTATCAGACAGATCCTTCTGGTACCTATCATGAATGGAAGGTAAGAAAGATTATTTGAAAGTGGTAATAATCATGATAAATATCTGTGATTAATTTTGTATAATTGTGTTAAAAAAAACTCAACAATGATGACTCTCTTTTAAGTACTAGTAATATTCGAATTAGTTCTATCTAAGAGGGTGGAAGTGTATATATAAGAAAACCAAATAATATAGAATCTGAAGAATCTATGATGGGGAGAACTAGCAATGTTTTGCCAGAATTTATCGATTAAATTACTCCTTAAATTTTGTCCCTCGCCAATAGTAAAAGTTTATTACTTAATCAAGTCGTTCTCCTTGTATCGATTTTTTGCAGGCAAATGCTATAGGTCGAAGTGCTAAGACAGTAAGAGAATTTTTAGAGAAGAACTACACAGATGAAATAGCTGTTAGTGAAGAAGAAACAATAAAGCTAGCATTGAAGGCATTATCTGAAGTTGTACAAACTGGGGGGAAAAATATGGAAATTGCTGTAATGAAAAGAAATCAACCATTAAAGGTATTTTTGAAATATTAAAGAAAGATAGCCATTTCACCGGAAACATAACAATTCAGTAACAATTGATAATTTAGGTGGATCAAATTGTGCAGAAGTTTAAAAATTGGAATTTGCAGTTAGACACTTTGATTTATATTCCTTATACATAATGAATTATTTGACGCTTATTATTAGGACTGTACAGAAACATGTTGACATTTAATTTATATTCAAGAGAAAGCAATCTATTGATTATCATCCGCTTGATTTGGAAATTATGAAAAAGTAGTGTTTATGTGCATAGGATGATAAAGGCTCAAAGATTGCTGATTAATATCTTTACATTAGTCTTATTTGGCACTCTGCGACAACCTTTGACTGCTAGTATGACTTAGCTGCTATCATATGCATTATTGCCTAGCAGCTGTTTTTTGGGCTGCAAAATTGTAGTAATTATCCGAAATTTATATTAAAATAGTCTGACACTATTGATACTGTGAACTAATTTTCATTTCAGATGCTAGAGTCAGATGAAATAGAAAAATATATTACAGAGATTGAAAAAGAAAAGGATGAAGAAGCTGAGAAGAAAAAGCCGAAAAAATAATACAGATCAAAGTTTAAATATAAATTTCTTATAAAGAAAATTTGTTCTCATTTATTATCACACATCATCAGTTGACTGTCTGTATTAAAATAAATCAGTTATTGTACAGTTTCACTGATTATTAAAACTGATTCTTATTTAAAACTTAATTCTTTTGTAATATTGTAATGTGTTATCAGTAACCTGTCACCAGTTGCATCAACTGTTAAAACACCCCTCAGAACCAGAATATAATCAATAGTGGTTAATCATGGTATGGTGTCTTCAATATCTTAATATTAGGAGCAGTTCCATATTCACTCTAAATTCTTCTGGATCTGTTGAATCGGGGATATTATGGTTTGTTGTAACATCCTACAGCATTGAAACTCACTCGTACACCATAAGTTAAAGAGTTATTGCCCTTGTGAGAGGTTATACTCTATTGAACTTTCAGCAATCGAATACTCTCAATCCCAAAAATAAGTGACAATCGAGTGAAAGAGGGGATTTTGAGCTACAACGCATGCACTGACTGCATAAGAAAATATGTCCAACATGACAGCCGAAACATATTTGTAGCGTTTAATAACATAATGATTCTACGAACACCACCTCGGTTGTCGAGACTGACAGAACTGTGACAGGGCTGAATTCTGCATCACTTGCTAACACGATTTCGCTACAAAAGGGAATAACCCTTGAAGTTATTATTGCAAATTGTTAAAAATCAAAAGGTTTTGTACTTATTTCAATTAAACACTTGTCTGATGATCTTCATAAGAAGAACAATCACCAATTTGGAACAGTTTTCATCCAGGTAGCCCATTTTGCAAAAGTATGTACACAATAATAGCTTTTGAAGTAATATAGCCCAAAATTTCAAACTAACATGTTAGTTCAGTAAAGTCTTATAATAATATGATTTGCATGTGCTTTGAGAAGCAGAACCTGGCAAGCTTCATTCTCTCATGAACTGTATATAAATAGAAAGCAGGGGACTCTTAAAACGGGTCTGTTTGTCGGTCCGTCTGTCACACTAACTCTCCTAATTGAGCTAGAATATTCAAACTTGGTGTAGGTGTTTATTAGGTCAATGCCTTGATGGAGTTCGAAGATAAGCATTTTCTGCTTAGGTTATGCAGAGATAAGCAATTTGATTGGTTGATGCTTTGGGACTCGATAACTTTAGTTCTAATTAAGTGAGAGTGATGCAACTTGGTGTATAGTTTCATTACATCAATACCATGACTAAGTTCGATAATGAGCATTCTCTGCTCAGGGTAAGTAGAGCGATAAGCAATTTGATTGGCCAAGACTTTGGAACTCAATAATTCTCCTTCTAATTGAGCTGGGGGGTTGGATTGGCGAATGGTTAGCACGTGCGTGCTGTATCATAACGTCTGTCATTTAGTCGACTGACGTGGTTTCGAATCCCCGGTTGTACATGACCAGGAGTAGGGTCGCCTGTCCAACCTGGTGGGTTTTCTCTGGGTCCTCCGGTTTCCTCCCACTGCTAACTGCTAAAGACCCCTACACGCAAGCGAATTATAGAAATAAAATTGAACCATGTGTTGGTCCCAAAATGACCTAGTTTGTGGTGAGTGGACGTTAAAACCCCATTTCTCTCTCTCGGTCTTGTGAAATTAAACACTGTTTATAAATCTCAATTGGATGATGATTTTAGTCTCTAACTAGACAGGACAAACTACCACCACATTTAAATGAGGGAAGCCACGGTGGCTCTGTGAGAAGGACATTGGCTTGCTAACCCTTGAGGCGTTGTTCCCCCTTGACAGTGGTGTAGGATGGAGGGGTCTGGCTAAAAACAATGTATAGTCGTTTGGATGGACTGGCAAGGGACAATATAATATAGTTTTTCGGATGGGACAAAAAAACAAGGTCCTGTGTACATATTGGCGTGCACATAACAGAACCCTTGACAGTTGGAATTCGAAATAAAAGTAGGCCATAGCACACTGCATGGCATATGCCTGTCTTTATTAGCCCAGTAGAAGAGAACAGTAGGATGTTAAACCCCATTTCATTTAAATGAGGACATATAAAGATAGATCTTTCTCAGCAACTGCTGAACAAGTACTGGCAGATTATTAAGGATGTTTAAATGGTGAAGGGACAGAGAAATTAAGGTTTAACATCTAGATAGATACCTGTTTTTCAAAGTGGTTTTAAGTACAAATTATATGCCAATACAGATTGATTGACCGTTGTCAGTTGTGGTTAGTATTAGGGCAGGGTATGCATCTTAATTTCCGCATTTATATCCTGAGGGCCAATGATAAGCTACGCCCCCTTTTCTGTATAATTTGTTCGATGATATAGCACCCATACTTAGACAAGTATGTAAACAGGACTATCCAGGCACTTTGGCTTGGGTAGACTTTAAGCAGTTACATAGCAACAGTATATGGAAAGTGAAACTTTATGTATTTGTGTATAAAAGTATAACTGAGTTGCAAACAGTTGTATAGAATTAAGATAAAGGTTTCTACGAGTCTTAAACAAATAATTAACCTGTTTATTCACTAAAATATATCTGGGACAATTCGTTTAATAACAAAACAACACTACAAGTAAATTTAAAACTGGGTTGACAAAACAAATTTATTCATGCTACATGATAACAGTTAAGTTGCAATACAATGAAGGTACATGAAACATAATAAAGGGCTACACACTGTCTCAGTATATACATATTGATATTGTACACATATTATAGACTGTAAAAACAAGCATTTTCACTACAATATACACATGCACAAGATACAATCATTGCTATATATGTGCAAGAGCTATTTATTTTGTTTTCTGGCAGAAATAAAATATGAATAATTACAATACTCTTTGAACAATCCATTTTCACAAAACCATTTTGAACGATTGTGTTGTTCTTGAGTTCAAATAATAAATCAAAGATGGCTGTGAATACATGTAAATCAAGTAATTGCTCATAAGCTATAGAAGTGTCCATTCACAACTTGATTTATGTCATTTCTTTTATCACTGCTACACTGTCAACTGCTTTCGAAAAATTTAGAAATTATGTAAAGCTAATCTGAAGATTTCATTGAATATATAGTAGTTTCCATTTTCTGGTTTTAGTAAAAATACATGGGTAAAAGGCATTGGTTTATCGTGTTCTGAATCAGTCTGAAAGTGAAAGAAAACACATATAGCATGTCACAATTCAACAATTCTGTTGCACATGTATGACAAATCATATTGGTGACCCTATAGTATAAATCAATCTATAGTGTTATATACACTATATATTGTAGCCAAGGCCACAGATCTTATTAAATTTTAGGGGGGGACGGAGGTGTCGGGCGGAGCACGACACACGCCTCGCGTCGCAGACGCGAACCAGTCTGCGGGCGGTCTAGGGGTCCTCCCCCCAAAAAATTTGAAAGCAGGATGCCTGAAAGGGCTATCTGAGACCATTTCTGAGTATTCTGCAGAGATGAACGTACCGAGAAATTGCCAGTCACGGATGAAAATGTGATGAATAATTTCTCAAGTGGCCAGCTCTGAGCATAAGCTGCTGAGGTCATGAAGAGATCATTCTCAGATCTGGGTTACATCAAAGACCGGGCATTTTTGAACCAAGGGGAAATATCCTCAGCCTGAAAATAGGACTAAAGTTTTGGGAGACGCTGACAGAGTACGGTGGACGAAGGCATATGCCATGTGTGCTACAGGCGTGCATTTAGCGGGGTTCTTGGTGCCTCCCCTGGAAGATTTTTTAAAATTAGGATGCCTCAAAATGCTATCTGAGACCATAACTGGGCATTGTACATCGGCATGTTCGGAAATATAGGCTACATTTCCCGGGCTGAAAATAATCGATGCATTTTTCTGGGGGGGACGAGGCATATGAAATCCCCCCCAGTGAAAATCCAGGGGGGGGGGGGGGGGGGAACGGGATCTGCGGCCTTGATTGTAGCATACTTTTGTGAGATACCATAATACTTTGTTTTAATACTAATTCGTTATAACCTGGACAAATTTATTCTTGATGTAACAATCTTACCTTTAACTGTCCAATTATACACACTTGGACACCACCATCTATTGTAGGTTGATAATCTGCACATGTTATAGCTCTTTGTATATTATCTGATGGTACACTCTGAAATATATTAGTAAAATTACGATATACCACGCAGATGAATCAAAACTACATATATGTTGTATTCTCACACTATTATGTACTTCAGTATAGTTGTGTGTGTAATCAGGAATTATGTAAACTCAAACAAGGCACACATTCAACTACTTTGGAGCTACTGTGTATGTAATATGAGGACTTTTATAAAACCTGAATTACATGTGTGTTTCTAACTGATGAAATTGCCCAAGGGTTTTATCAGTTAAGTATTTAGCAACTACGAGCTAATAAAGACTGGCATACATCATGATGCTTTCTCCAAAAATATTATCCTGCCAGCGGCTCTACTATCAGGGGCTCTTTAAAGTGGTGCCAGTATATATATATTGGACCCTGTTTTTTGTATCATTCAAACAACTTGACATTTATTCTTGCCAGTTCCCTCCGTCCTTGACTTTCTCGGCCAACACCGGGACAAAACGCATGACTGGTTAGTGAGCAAGCGCCATACTCAATGAGCCACTGTGAAAAAGATGAAATTCAAGTACTCTTTGCTATCTATTTAAAACCTAAAAATAATTTCAACAGTCATAATGAAATTGAAAAATACTGTTAATCCGAGCACAATCATCACTTCAGCAGTGGACACATTAGCCAAATCATTCGGCTGAATCAATCGGCTCTGAATTTTATTCGGCCGAATGGGTGGACACACTAGCTGATTGCTTCGCCCGATTCACCAGTCGATTGCATCACCTTTCACGTCACATGATTAAACATGGCGGCCTCGATATGAGTGGATGATGAGTGGTGATTGGCGAATGAATTCTACATTCGGCCGAATGCTTCAGCGACGCGGACTCACCAGGCGAATATAATTCGGCCGAATCGCTTTAGTATATACAGTAAACCTTGCATAAGTCGGATTCGTATAAGTCTGATCTTCGCTAAACTCGGATAAAATCGTTTGGACCCGATGATCCTGCACGGTTTTCTTATTAAATTTCTGTGCGTAACTCGGATTTCCTATGTTGGATCTACGCTCAACTCGGATGCAAATGTTCGGTCCATTTGATCTAATTCAGGCTTTTTTCTTTTGCCTAAGTCGAAATGGCAGTATTTTCAGAATTTGACTAAGCCAGTTTTGTACCGATGTCCTAAAACACGGTTAGGTATTCCATGCACAGAGCCCCAAAATACTTTCCCCCTATCACTTTGCCTCAAATCTGCCTATTTGACGCGATGCAATAATAGAATTTTCCCTGTCAACAACGAACAATAACATCCTGACAATTTCATGGGCATTATAATACATGGACTGAATGCATGCTGCACGAGACGGGGAAGTTGGCTGTACCTTTTTACGAGTGATAAACTACCAATGTAATTTTAATAAAATACTGTTTTATAAAGAAGAAAACAATGCTCCAACAATATAATCGAAATTCCTCCAGTATAAATTAATTTTAAATCCAGTTGTAATTTATTATTGAATTCACAATCAGAATGTGCCGTTACTGTGTACGAGACAACTAATAAACGAGTTCCTGACATAACCAGTCAGGAGGATCTTCTATTCGCTCCCCCCCCCCCTCGGAATATGTTGCCGCCTTTTTAAATGACACATGGCTTTTTTTTCTATTGTACAGTCTTCTGCGGCTTTTGTAGTTGTTTTTCGTCAATGATTATCACTATATATGTTAAAATATTATGTACAGGAATTGTTGTACTAGTGAATTGTAATCTATTGCCGGTATTGGATTTTTAATTAGCAATTAAAGCTGTAGGGTTAAGTAAGAACACAGGAATGTCTTACTCAGCTCAATAATATACAATCAGCTATTCAGTGTTCACGCATCATTTTATAATTTACTTATCAACAAACAATCACAAGAAAAAAACCTTGGAATGCAGTACAGACATTGACATTATAGAATTTATACGGCATCCGATTAATCGGCACTACTTTGAATCAGTTATTATCCGGCTCTTGCAGTTTATTTCTGAGCTACGATTGAATTTTGGTCTTCCGTTTACTCGGATCTTCGCTTAACTCGGATAAAATTGGTTAGTCCACTTAGATAAGACTTATGCAAAGTTTACTGTAGTATATATATGTCTATGTGTTCCTAAATACTACACCGTTGTCTGTCAAACTTGGAGTTAAGGGTTATTTTAATTTTTTTATTGTGAGCTTACAACCTTGGTATTACATACTTTTACACAATTTGCTTACAAGGGCAGCCATTTTATCGGGCAGTTTTGTTCCCATTTTCACAAAATTTGAACTCAACCATTAAAGTGTAATGGTGATATATTCAAACGTTTTTATGAATCGGATAAAATTTATGACCTCTAGAGGGACCACAAGCTAAAAACATGATTTTTCGTACAATCAGTGGCCATAATCCAGGAAGCTACGGTCCGATATATGCGAATATTGAAAGGAACCAAGATTTTGGGGTTATAAACATACATTTCGAGTTCCATCAAAATTGGATAAAAATTGTGACCTTGGAGTGTCCAAAAGCTAAAAACGTGATTTTTTTGTACTATCAGGGGCCATAATCCATGAAGTTACAGTCTGCTACATGCCAATATCGAAAGGAACCAAGATATTTCAGAGAAATGCTTTCAGATTGCACTAGATAATTTAAATAACCATGAGGGAACAAATCTTTATACTCTATTCAAGAGATGAGTAGACCTACTAAACGATGTACATGTACATATTCTAAATTATTTGGGTCACTTTTAGATTTGTACTAACTTCTTTACACTTGTGTCTCAAAACCTCAGTGCCAAGTGGGACATTATAAGAATGTGGTATTATTTTATGTGTAGAATCAATGCATGCCAGGTTGTTCTACGTCCCTGGCAATAGAAATTTTAAAACCTAATGTTTGACTTCTTTCAAATACATTGGTAAACTAAATCTCTATGCTGCTCGTCACAAATTTGTTAACTACACATGTAATTTATCAGAAATCTTACCATTAATTTTTCTACTATTGATTGAGGACCTTGAAATTGACAACCTTCAAATGTTAATAATGCTGAACACTGTAAATATAAAGACATAAGTTTATACACACTGTTGTCATTATTGTAAGATTGAAACATTGACAGGGAATCTTTTGGTTTTTTCATTGAATAAGCAGATTGTTTTCTTAACCATGCAAAAAGTAGACATTTTCAATTGTTATTGTACACTTTTTCTATTTTACATCAGTTTTAGTTGAAATCATATAGAGAAGTGGTTGTCGGGCCTCTGTGTTTAAACCTGTTAACTCAGGAAAGCTGTGCTATGAAAATTCTGACCCTAAAATGTGCTGTTTTTGTTCTGCGACCTCGGGAACGTGTATGTACACTAACATTGATGACTTTGCACTTTTCGTGAAGGGGAGAAAATGAAGTTTGTGTCGAGCATGATTTGGATATTCATCAAGATGTTTACAACTTTTTATATTTTGAAAAATTAATATTACCAGGGAAGGGGCAAAAAAGGTGCATGTCACTGGAACAGAATGACCCCTTTTCTTGTCATATTGGCCCATATTTCATTCACCAACCTATGGAACTAGTGCCAGAATGCGAGAAAACAAACCATGTGGAAGAAAAGGAATGATAAATGCAGGCCTTCACGTCTAAAAAAAATCATGGGCTCATTACATGGGGAGTATGTGAATAATAAAACACTGTACACATATTGCTATTATTATGTTTCTTTCATATTTGAAATAAAATAAAAAGATAGGTTGCCAGGCAATGAAACATACGCCCTGAAGCACATTAGCTAAGTTGCCTGGGCAGTCAACAAGAGTTGTCTCATATTTTTTTCTTGTTGGTAATTAATCATTTATAATACACTAAAATCTGATTAAGAGTAAAAATTCATTAATTAATTATCAGAAAATCATTAGAATTTGTTTGGCTTCTAGCTCTGCCCCAGGCTAACATTTAGTATACAAAACATTTAATATCATTCAAGTTGTCAAAGATAGGTTGTCAGGCAACAAAACATACGCCCACAGCAGCTAAATCGTCCGAGTGGTCGACAAGGGTTGTCGTATATTTATTTTTTTGTAGGTAATTAGGGGCATTTAATATACAATTTCATACAGATGACATTATAATTTTCGTCGTTTGAGGGTTCACAAGGTTCTAAAAACCAAAACAAGGGCGATAACTCTGGAAGTAATCTACTGAAATTGTTGAAATTCGACAGACTTTTTCGTTTTACTAATTCAAATAATGCATATAAATTTCATACAGATTGGATGATAACTTTTGTTGTTCGAACGTTCACAAGGTTCAACAAAGTAAAACAAGGGTCATAACTATAGAAGTAACTGACGGAAATTGCTGACATTCAATAGGCTTCTTTATTTCACTAATTTAAATGATGCATATGAATTTCATACAGATTGGGCGATAACTTTTGTCGTTCAAGCGTTCACAAGATTCAATTGAAGTGAAACAAGGGCCATAACTCTAGATGTAATTAACGAAATTTGCTGAAACTCAATAGGTTTATTCGTTTTACTAATATAAATTTCATACAGATCGGATAATAACTTTTGTCATTAGAGCGTTCACAAGATTCAACAAAGTGAAACAAGGGCCATAACTCTAGATGTAATAAACGGAAATTGCTGATATTCAATAGGCTTCTTTGTTTTACTAATTTAAATGATGCATATCAATTTCAAACAGATCGGATGATAACTGTCGTCATTAAGCGTTCACAAGATTCAACAAAGTGAAACAAGTGCCAAAACTCTAAATGTAATTAACGGAAATTGCTGAAATTCAATAGGCTTCTTTGTTTTACTAATTTAAATGATGCATATAAATTTCATACAGATCGGTTGATAACTTTTGTCGTTAGAGTGTTCACAAGGAGCAACAAAGTGAAACAAGGGCCATAACTCGAGAAGAAATTAACAGACGTTATTGAGATTCAATAGGCTTCTTCATCTCACTAATGCAAACAACGTATATCAATTTCAAAACAATCAGATGATAAATGTAGTCTGTAGAGTGTTCACAAGAAATTGTGGACGACGGATGACCAGGCGGACGGAGATATCGACAGATGGACGGGGGCGTTGGCAATATACCACCACATTTCCATGTGGGCATATAAAAATCATTGAAAATCAATTTACTTGTTCGTCTTAAGACCTTAACAGTTGTATATCAATCTAAAGTCAATCGAATACAAATGATTACTTTGGCCTGTAAAGCCTCCGCAAGATTTTTCGAAGTAATCAAGGGCCATAACTCTGGCAGTAATTATCAGAAATCGTTAAAAATATATAGGTGCCTTTGTCTCATGACCTTAAACACTGTGTAGAAATCTAAAGTCAATCGGATATTAACTTTAGCCTCTAGAGCTTGTGGACGTCGGACCAATGGACAGGGGCGACGACAATATACGACCACATTGCAATGTGGGCGTATAAAAATTGTGACCTCTACAACAAGCTTACAAGCCAACAGTGAGGCTGATGTCCCCCGCTGAAATCCCAAAATAAATAGATGACACATATTCATTAATCGCACATTTATTTTTTTCAAAAGTATCAAGAAATCAAACAAATTATCATCTATACACTAAGTTTGATCACTCTCTATCATATAGAATCAAAGTTATCTTGTCACAAAGCATCGACCAATCAAATTGCTTCGCTCTGCTTAGCTTTAGCTCGAAATGTTAATCATTGAACTCAGTCAAGATATTCACCTAATGAACATCTACATCAAGTTTAAAGATTCTACCTCAATTAAAAGCATAGTTGTTATGTTCAAAAGTCTTGACCAATCAAATTGCTTATCGATCCTTAGCCTAAGCAGAAAATTCTCATCAACAAACTTAGTCAAGGTAATGATATAATGAATCTATACTCAGATGGATGAGGGTGAAATGGATGGCATGGATGATGTGGAAATAGATGATGTGTCGATGGTGGTGTGGAGATGGATGAGGGTGATAGTGAGATGAATAGTGATGTCGAGGTCGTCGAATATACGCAGGGCTGACGGTAATTTTTCACAGTTGATTAGCAGCACTGCTAATCAAAAAGTCCAATTTTGCCTAATTTGATAAGCAAATTTAAAAATTGATTAGCAGTTTTTCAGTTTCAACATAAAATACCTAAATAACAAGATATTACTTAAGCTCATAACAAATATGATTAGATTCCATTCTTACTATTCTTAGATTTTTTTTAGCACTGCCACAAGTACTTGTGACAGTTTGTGAATGTGATGTAGACATTTAGTTAGGTCTTATGTCTGAAGCCAATTCTTAACAGTGACTTCCGAAGCCCCAATCATTTTAATTGTTATTTTTTGTTACGTTAGAAATCTTCGTTAGAAAACAATTTCGTCTGCTTTTTATCGTATATTGCTATTTTTGTTAAATCGGGCGCACTTCGATTAACTAGAAACACGCGATATTTTACGGGAATTTTTACTTTGATTTATCATTTTACAATACGTTAACATATATTTATTTTTTTATATTTTATTTACAATACGTGGGGGATACACTGGATTTATTTCTTTCAAAATGAATATGATATAATTACTTGATGTCTCGCAACATGAGTGGTACTACTTGATTCCCTATTTCCGGTTTAATAGTCCCTAGTCATAGAGTTATGTCCCTGTATTATATAGTACCGTATAATGAATTGTGTCTGGGTAGTTTAAGTAGAAAATGTCACTCGGAGAATTCAGTTTTGTTTATAAAATTTTTTTCAACATTTTACACACGTTGAAAGTGTTGAGAAAGCCTTCTAGTCTTCAAATGTGGATTATCCTTGTGTCAATATCCAAAATGACAGGCATATTAATGATTCGCAGTTACTGCGAATCAAAAACTTTACTGTCTGAGTCTTGGTAAATTTTAAACAGATTTCTTCGATTATGAACAAACTACTTAACTTTGGTTATTATAAACTTACCTGTGTGTTTGTAATCAACTCCTGTTCGATAAAATCCATTGCACAACTAATTATCACAACGATGAAAACAAGTTCTCTCTTGAAAAATTGAAATATCACAAACTTTTCCCAGAGAAAAATACCAATATGGAAGATGGTTAAGTCACTCTGCGGAAGATATTATTTCGGATTAGGGGTGACAGCATAGGAAATTCCAGTACAATTACGACAAGAATCCAAGACCACTCGGACCAAAGACCACTCAGTACAAGATCAGTCTGACCAACTGATAGACCAATCAGTCCAAACAAATAGACTACTTGGACCATACAAATAGACTACTTGGACCATACAAAAAGACTACTCGGGCCCAACAGAAAGACGACTCGGACCAGTAATAAAGTGTTGTTTTAATAAATTGATAATTGCGTTTGTTTTAATATGATTACTCGAACCAATAATAAAGTGTTATTTTAATAAATTGATAATTGTGTTTATTTTAATATGACTACTCGAACCAATAATAAAGTGTTATTTGAATAAATTGCTAGTTGTGTGTGTTTTAATATGACTACTCGAACTTATAATAACGTGTTGTTTGAATAAATTGATAATTGTATAGCAAAATATCGAGAACCACACTTGTAGTCACGTTTAAAAAGGGGCATATAAACGTCCGGTCTTCGTATTATTATGTGCTGTTTATATTAACGCATCAAGGGCGGATAACTTGAAAATGCGTCTCCCCCCATATATTAACCCAGGGGTTAGTGAGGTAGAACGGAATGAAACCACCAGGGATACCGAGTATGTGGAAAAAGTAAAATTAGGCTATCAGATAAGAACAGTATACCCGTATATGTAGAAACTGTCAAAAGTCTGGACATACCGAGTCTCATTGCAAGAGTAAATAAGAAAAATTAGATTGATATTTTTTTTGGCACCATTATTAATTAATTTTAAAACTAATCGTTGATTTATTTTCCGTACACAAAATTGAACTAAACAACTCTAAATATAAGAATTCCGTATAAGAATTATTTGCTTCTTTGCATTGTGATTTAATAATAAATAAATAGCATATTGTCTAGCCTTATAATATAATTTAATTGGTCCGACTGGTCTTGTTTTGATCCGACTGGTCTAAATCCGAGTAGTCTTTGGTCCGAGTGGTCTGGATACTTACGACAAATGGCATTGAGTTTGAGCGTTCGCACACATAACTACCCGCATTCCTGTATTTAGTTACCGTCTTATACATTCTAGTAAAATCTCTGCAAATTTTATAGCTTTACTTTTTGAAATATTTTGTTCTAATTATTTGATTATCAACTCGGATGGGATAATTTACTTTTGAACACGCATGCCGCACAAACACAACTATACATTCGTTTTACGGGCTTTATCACACTTCGGTCAAAACTGTCGAATCGAGAATTATTGTTCCGCTTCTTACGGGGTCATACAGGCTCATATATACAGGGGTCATATATACCCACTCGGGCACCCAATAGGCACGCTGAGGGCTGCCGCAACACGCTTAAAGATGTTACTGAAGCGGTTATTATTCGATCGAAAGAATGCGTATAAAATTAAAAATACACTCAGAGAATTCGGAGGTAAGCTTCATGATCCTTGTTAAATTATTTATAACATAAAGAAGATAGGATATTTATAGTTTATATATGACTTTATTTTTACAAGTATCCGTGCAATCAGTGATATTTTAATTGTGAAGAAAATTTGATAGACTGGCGATCAATGGTTTCCATATTAATCTCCTATGTAATTGCCTTCAATTGATATTTTTCGTCGCCCAAACCCATATACGATCAAAATGATCGCGCTGTCAAACTATCAATGTTAACCAACCCCCGCAACAGGTATATTGGATTCGACCAATACTTCACGAAGACATTGTTGACATCGACTCTGTCGAAATTACAAGTAAATTTTCAAATTTTTCAAGAGAGAACTTGTTTTCATCGTTGTGATAATTAGTTGTGCAATGGATTTTATCGAGCGGGAGTTGATTACAAACACACAGGTAAGTTAATAATAACCAAAGTTAAGTAGTTTGATCATAATCGAAGAAATCCGTTTAAAATTTACGATGGTTCACACAGTAGATTTTAATTTTTGATTAGCAACGGCCAAAATATGTATCGCAAATTGCGCTGCGATACTGGTTGTCGGCAGCCCTGAATATACGAGACCAACCCCAATACTGGAAGAGTAAGTTACTAATTAGTATTAAATTGATAGTATTTTTCAATGCATGTCAGTTTAATTAGCTAGTATTTAATTGATATCATTTTATATGCAAGTTTATATCAATGTATTGTTGTTTTCAGGTCTATAGGTGATCCAGTGGTAGCAGATGATACTCTGATACATAGAGCTCCCCTGGCTTGCTCCCTGCCACAATTGTCAATGCAGAGATCATCCAAAAGGCCAAGGTTGAATTATAATGAACAGGGTGAAAAAAGTGTAGGAATATATTTGTGCGTGGGGTTTATTTTAATGAAATTGTTATTGAAAATGTCGGAGAAAGCAATCTATTATCACTTCAATTTAAAAAGAGGGGATTTGTACCCTTGTCAGGTAGGATTTTCTGCTTAATTGTAGTTGGATGTGGCAGAAATGTTATAAATAACAATAATCAATCGTCAATTTGTCAATTTTGCTCACAGATGCTCGATGCAATTTGCATTGGGCTTTGCTACGTGGAACTATAGTATATAGGACCATCTCTCATCTCGAAACTTGGAGGGTTGAGAGACGATGTTTGTTATCTAATGATCATTATGCTCATCATGTATTTAATTTAAGCCTTTTAAGGCAGTGGCTATTGTTACGACGAGCTGTAAAAATAGTCCTCAGGCTATTGTTACGACAATGTTTTCTCAGCAAAGTTCAGGCCCGGATCCAGGATTTTGTCAAGGGGGGGGGGGGATACATTGGATGGAGCAAAGAGGGTAATCATCAGAGTGCCACATGCATAAGTGACGTGGGCTAAGGGGGGGGGGGGGGAGGTAGAAATGGTTCCACTACTGATGTCTTCCGCCTTACTCCAGCTACAGTAGTGGCTCGTCCTACGGAGTTTCTTTGCGCAATTTTTTTAGTCAAATGACTACAAAAAGGTTACTGGCCTATAGCTCCCTTAATTTATTCACAAACTGACCCAAAACTGTACTGCACAGAGCTTAACATATAATAAACCAATTCCTATTGAAATAAAGGTAAAGCCTTACCGCATAATTATATGATAATGAAACCCAACTGCTACGCAAAATTTCTCAACTACCGAACTTATTTCAACTGGCCGGTGTCATGGCGGCTTTGACATCGCTTTGAAAATGTAGAACGCATTACCACAAAGAAAAACTGTTCGGTAACTATTTTAGTGGTCCAGTCTTCACTATTTGTGAGAGAATTACTCACTTCAATACAAACTGTAATGATATGTGTTGACAATTGTGCGTTTGAACCTATTTAAACTTGCGTAAGGAGTCTTAAACTCTAAAACTGTATCAATTGTAGTGACGACACATATTGTAGCTAGGGGTGGGGTGGGCGGCACTGCCTTAATTTAATGTTTTGTTTGTATATGTATGCTGCCTCTAAATGGGGTGTTTAGATACAACAAATTTTTTCTTAAGCATAGAGAATTATGGTAGTATTAGTATAGGCTAAGATAAAAGAAATGTAAATGTAAATGTTGTCGTACATGGTACAGTGGCTGAAGAGTTGTCCGTGAATTTTTATCATCAAATCCTTTGTAATATGCTGCAACAAACTGTTCACCGATCTGTTGAAATGCTGGATTCATGTTGACTGTGCTTGGATATTCAAGACAGGGCTATAAAAATGTACATAAAACGATCTGTGCCTTTTTTATCTTTAGCTATTCACCGGTCTGAAACGGAAATCAACGAGATTTTGCGCGTGAATATTCGAGACTTCCGGTGTAAATAAATTGCTACAGATGGCCACAGGCACATCACTAAAGATTTCCCCCCATTGACTTTAATTGTCTTTAATGTTAATTCTCGTATCTTAGACCGACTCTAACTTTTTCCCATATTTTTGTTGGGTAGAACGCTTTCTACCACAGATGGAGCAACATGTGTCAATCTCTTGCCCAAAAGCACGTGTAGGTTCTTCATGAAAAACTTGAGATACACAAGCTGAAGTAGAGACAACTAAACATGCAATTTAAGGCCCTACATTTCAACCTAACCAACCTCTCAACTCTTGTATCCTTCCGCATCAAAATTATGAATATTCACCAAAACCTGGCAGAAAATGTATTTTCAAACCCTTTTCTTCGATTCAATACCAAAAAGTCAACAAAAGGGAGAGGAAGACTAAAAATAGCTTTGGCCCTGGAATATTTGGTGGGGATCTCGTGGCTAAGACGCTTGCTCGCTAGCCTGGAGGTCAGGTGTTCTATCCCTGCATTGGCCGAGAAAGTTCATCCAGATTTTCCGGCGTGGTTCCCCCTTGTCGGTGATGCAGGACAGAGGGCCTGACAAGGACAGCTGTCTAGTCCTTCGGATGATACACTGGAATGCACGTAAAAGATCCCTTGGCAGTTGGAATTCGATATAAGAGTAGGCGATATAGTGCCGCTGCCGCAAAATTTCCCTCATAGCACACTGTATGAGTATGGCGTATGCCCGTCTTTATATTAGCCCTGTTCGGAGCAGAACAGTAGGACGTCAAACCCCAATTTCATTTAATTTCTCTTTCTCTCATCGCCAATTTTTAAAATAAAATTGCACCATGTTAGTCACTAAATAACTCTTAGTTTGTGTTGAGTGGACGTTACACCCCCCCCCCCCCCCACACACACACACCCACACCCCCAACAGAACAATATATTCAGTCCAGTCGATAAAATCAGTCAATTAGTTCAGTCTGTAACATCAGTCAAATAGTTCAGTCGAATAAACCAGTCGAATAAACCAGTTGCTCAATATTAAGCAGCGATGGCAGTGGACTAAGATAATAATTGTTTGACGTTCTAACTCATGACGTCAACTGGCAGACAGTCGCCATTCATGGAGATTACCACTGTCAAGATCGGCCACATTGTTTCTGTTGCGTCTTTTTTGAATTCCTGATTGTTTACAGATTCGAGTGAAGTCTGTGTCACCACAGGCCCGGGACTGTACAGCGCAGTGGACGCTTACGGCTGGTCCCCGGATCCATTCACTTGATTTGATATTTGTTTATTTGGTGCAATGTCTATTTTCTGGCTTGTCCGCAGGTTTATCTTGTAAATTTTTGTTTTGCGTGTAGTGCGGTCACTTACTAATAGAGTAGCAAATCAAGCTCGTAGCCATAGCTGAAGGAGTCAGGGGCCGGGGGGCTTCCTATCTAGTTTCAATTCCGATTTTGCGGGCAAAAGTAGTTTGATAATGAAGGTATTTAGGCGATGCTCAAGTAGAGGGTAACTTTTTCGGCTCCCACATCTAAATGAATAGAATCGTTACTAATGCCTGTAGTCTTGGCAGATGGGGGGGAGGGAGTATTGGACGAGTGGCAATCATGCTCGCAGTCATATAGCTGAAAGGTATGGGGTAGGGGCCGGGGGATTCCCAACTAGTAATAGTATCAAGTCTCATTTTACGGGCAAAAGTAGTTTGATAATGAAGGTATTTAGGCGATGCTTAACCCAGTCTCTATATATAACCATAGAAAGGGGGTGCGGGTGGGGTGGGACGTGTGGGGATGAGGTATTTCACATTTTCATATGTGGCCTCGTCCAGTCGATAAAATCAGTCAATTAGTTCAGTCTATAAGTATAACATCAGTCAAATAGTTCAGTCGAATAAACCACAGAAGAGCATGCCTACTGTTTTACTTCCAGATATACGAACCCAGTCATTACTCGGCATTAGACCATTTTGACAATTTGTCTAAGGCTTCTTGCATTCTCGTTCTAACCGTACCGTAGTTATTCGCTGCATGCCAGATTGAACTATGTCAATAAGTTTCTTAATGTACCGTAGTTATTAGACTGAAGGTGTTAATTGTGACGTCTAATTGTTTTATAGTGTTCCTAATTGACCTTTCCGTCGACTCCGCCCACAATAAGGCTTTGACCAATCAGCTCCGTTTACAGTTTCCCGTGAAATGACGTTGCGTTACCACGCTTCATCACCTTAGACAAACTTCGTGAATTTTGACATTTCATCGTGTGTTGAAACGTCAGTTAGGAGATAAACATTGCTCACATGGACATCGTAACATCTATCCAGACAATATGAAGGGTGTTTTAGTGTGCATTCTCTTCCCAAAACAGTTAAAAAAACAAAAAATATAGGATGTGTCTTCTAGGCCTAATGGATAAATAAGACTGTTGTCGAAGTCACTCCCAGTTAAATGTAAACAAACGTCAATTCTAACCGGTCAAGTGTGTTCCAAGGTAAGTAAATTAGTTTTTTGGGGGCTAAATAACATTTAATTGTATGTAAACAATTCCAAGGGTTATAAATTTGATTTCATTTAGCCAAATAACAATAAAATATTATGTAATCTACGCCTTTATCGTGCATAAAACACGTCGTCTGCTAACATCCGCCATGTGTCAAAACATCGGGAGCAACCTGTGTACTGTAGAAATGGTTCCACTACTGATGTCTTCCTTCTTGCTCCGTAGATAAAAATTGCAGCTACGTGTACTGTAGTGTGTAGTGTATGTTACTGATACTGCCCCATCTTCTTTTATGGTATTTTACGAGTTATCTCACATTATTCCATAACATTTCTTCAGTTCAAACGCTCAGTTCCCATTCCGTACTGCAGAATTTGCCAACAAGGTATGAATTTCTATGCCCACCCCTTTCAGCTTCAAGGCCCACAGTAGGCTAGGCCTAGAGAGTCTAACCGGGGCGGACTGCAAGTACGCTCTTATAGGCCTATTGCCACAATCAAATGACGGCTACATTAGAGGCCTAGGCCTAATTCTATATGGTTTATCAATTTAGGCAATCTATAGGTTACACGAGATATGCCTTCTACTGGCATTATTACTTGGTTTGTTGAACTAGCACAAGTAGTCTTAAATGTAATGCTTGAGTACTTTGTTTGTATTTCAACTGACATGTTGAATCACTTGATTTTCAGCACTTTCTGAAGCGGCCTGGACCAATAGAAAATAATCCTGAACCATATTCAGCTGATCATAATGGATATATAATATTAAACCAAAACAAACAAGAGCTGCAGCAATAAAAAGACAGACAAATTGTTGACAGGTAAATATGCCAGCTTGTTAACTACTCAAATAATTTTATTATCAAATCAAGGGTTCACAAGGGACATTAAATGATTAATACAGATCATACAAAGATAGAAAAGTGTTACCCCCATTTTTCTTGTTACTAGGCCTATTCTTTCCAAATAAATTTTTCCATTGAAAATTTGATGTTTTGTCTTGCTAGTCATATTAAGGTGAAATTTCAGGGTAAATATTCATCATTTAATTTCATGACACAAATTTGTTGGGTTTCTTTGAAAATCTCTCGATATAAAATAGCATGTTTTGATTTTTGATGCTGGTGTCATTTAAGTGGAATCATACTGCAATTTCAATGGATAAGCTTACATCTGGTAAATATTATTTTAAAAATATGTAAAATTCCCTTTAGGCCTATATAGACACGCCACATTACTTCTTTATTCTTTTACAGCTACATTTCTAAAGAAGGAGAAGAAAAATAAAATACCAAGAATTAACTAAAAATGTGAAATGAAATGATATGAAATGGGGTTTAAAGTCCAACTGTTTTGCTCCTAAACTGGGCAAATGAAGACGGGCATACGCCATACAGTGTGCTATGAGGGCAATTTTGCCCGGGCAGCGGCGCTACGGCCTACTCTTATATCGAATTCCAACTGCGAAGGGATCTTTTACCTGCATGCCAATGTGTACACGGGACCTCGGTTTTTCGTCCCATCCGAACGACTAGACAGCTGTCTTTGTCAGGCCCTCCGTCCTGCATCACTGACAAGGGGAAACCACACCGGAAAATCTGGATGAACTTTCTTGGCCAATGCAGGGATCTAACACCCGACCTCCAGGCTAGCGAGCCAGCGTCTTACCCACAGGATTACTGGTATTTTGCTTAATATACTATTCAAAAAAAGTAGGGGATATTTGATTTTTAAGTGTTATTAAAGTCACCTAATGAAACTGACGAAGAAACAAATGACAAAATGAAATGAAGTTCACATTCATCGATTTATTCCAAATGATCGTTAGACTAAGTAAGGCACAGACTGACCATTATAAGGGTAAAATGATACCCGGGGTCAAACAGCAAAGTTACCACAGCATCACAACCAAGTCAGTAACGGGTAAATCCTCCTCTGTTTGCCAAACAAGCATTGATCCGACGTGGCATACTCCTAATGAGACGTCTAAGGTCATTTTGGTCCAGATTGTCCCATTCCTGTTGCAACGCAGCAGCAAGTTCTTGGACATTGGCAGGACGTTGTTGACGTTGACGTAACCTCTGTCCAAGCATGTCCCAGACATGCTCGATGGGGGAGAGGTCGGGACTCAGTGCTGGCCAAGGTAATGTGGTGATGTTCTGTTGTTGGAGGTAACCTGTAACGATCCTGGCCCTGTGACATCTTGCGTTGTCATCCTGGAAGATGAAACGGCGGCCATGACGTCATGCGAACGGCACAACATGGACTGCCAAGATGTTGTCCCGGTAGTACTGGCCTGTAACACGCCCTGCAACAACATGTAAAGCCGTTCTTCCAGCAACAGTGATGCCTCCCCACACCATAACGGAACCACCCCCAAATCGATCATGTCTGATGACGTTAACGTCTTGGAAGCGCTCGTTTCGACGACGCCACACCCTCCTACGTCTGTCCAAAAAATCAACAGTGAACCTTGACTCATTTGAAAACATCACATTGCTCCAGCGTCGATTATCCCAGTGTTGACGATCCCTACACCAACGACGTCTTGCCTGAATGTGATGATCTCTCAAACAAGGGATCACGCGAGGACGTCGGGCGCGAAGGTGACCCCTATGCAGTCGATTCCGAATCGTCCGGCCACTCACTCTCACACCAGTGTCTGTTTGAAGACGAGCGCTGATCTGATTTGCTGTGATGACACGATTTCTCAAGGCCAAGGTACGGATAAATCGATCCTGGGCTTGAGTTGTCGCCCTTGGTCGACCTGAGCGTGGTCTGTCCTGTACAGATTGTGTATCACGGTATCTGGACCATAGCCTGCTTATGACAGACTGAGAAACATTCATCGTCCGCGCCACAACCGCCTGTGTTGTGCCGATCTGTAGCATGCCAAGGGCACGTAACCTTTCATTTTGGGTAAGCCGACGCATATCAAAATTTGTTTTTTGGTCACTAAAACAATTAAACTGATGTTTCCACCCTGGAATTCAATGCCACAATGACTGTAACATTCAAAGTCAGAGTCGTGCAAATCTTGGGTTGGACCCCCATGATGATCCCAAGCATCACCTGCATTCCATGCGGTAGCTATTGGTGCGTTTGGGCGTCACATGTAACTGGAAATGTTTCTTCTTTTAGGTTCTATAGTGACTTTTTTCGTAGTCATTTGCATATTTTAGTATTATGCCCCCAAAATCAAATATCCCCTACTTTTTTTGAATAGTATATAAATAATCTACGATAACCACATATACACTAATTTTTCAAACTCTTACAAAGAAATTTAACACGTGATTTCACAATTTCACTCTCTGCAAAGTCTGTTGCCTTTTGATTCAGAACAAACATTGTAAAACTGTTTGCATAATTAAATCTAGTCATTTAGATGTAGCCTAAACACTATACATGTATTTTTAAATAAATAATATTACTTACTGGTATCTACAATCTTGAAGTGTATTCTTTCACAACATATCGAAATGACATTGTGTTGATAATATAGATGAGGATTACTGCAACAGTATCAATCTTGTCACTTCTTACTCTTAGTCTTGGCTTTTCTTCATTGTTGTGTTAGTGATATACATGGGGGAAAAAACTGAACCCTGTCATTTGCCAGTGTTGGGAGTGCAATCACAAGCATTAAATCATCATGATAAAAAGAAAATCTTGGCATGTTTTCTCTATTTTACTAGTTGAAAGGAACATACTATGATGTGGCCTGGCCTACTATAGACATACAACTGCACCAGTTATGAAACGTGAATATATTCGCTGCCTAAAGTTTTGGTATTTCACTATTATATAGTAATAGATTAGTACTATATTAACGACAGTAACGTAACTTTGTGTTTAGGATAGCCTACTAGGCCTTATAGGCCTTGCAATCTACAGAAGTACCTATAGCCAACTGTGGTTTTCTCTAAATTTATATCAAATCCAGACCAGACAATGCTTAACAACTATGATGATCATTATTAATTTAAAAGTTGCAGGACCACAGAATGTCATACGTTATAGTTATATACGTATGATGGTACTTGTAATTGTATGTACCCCCCACCCTCCCTCATTACGCTTCACTATCTTTTATTAATTCAACCATGCTTACATTTATAGACATAAGTGATAATAAACAAATAGATTTTGCTTACCCCTTCTGGCAGCAACAATGGTAGTCTGTTACTTCCTTTATTTCTCGTTCTATCTCTTGCCAGTTCGGACTTCATTGACACATTGATGCCTGATCTGTCAATTGCCTAAAACAGGTTCACCTGTACCTGGAGCACTGCTTCTTTACTTCAAACTAACAATACACTTCAAAATTAGCGGGAAGGCCCAAAAGATTGACACAAGATTGAACGTCGTTCAGCCATCGCCATGCTTATGTCTAAGGCACGTCATATATGTTGTCTAAGGTGACGTCATTACAAAAAGTGGGAGGAGCTACAGGTAAAGGTATTCAGAAACAATGCAAAACTGCGGAAATGCACTGCTGTTTTTATTAGAGGTAACCAGTGTATGTTAATAACAGGCCAATTGCCTACACATGAACATAAACAGTTCATATGGGCGACTTATCTGACGGCCCCATTTCACTCGCAAAGAGTTAACCGTCAAAAGTGAAAATGGACGTTTTTGATTTTTGTCTTAATAATGAGTAATTGCTCCGCAATCCTCAGACATTCAGCAATTCCTCGTGGCATGCTCCTAATCAACCGTCCAATCACGATTTGGGGCAATCTGATCCACTCCTCTTGCAATGCCACGGCCAAGTAAACGTAACAAATTAAACGTAACACACTAAAGCAAAGATACGCTAAACAGTAAATCTTATGCAAGAACTGATAGGAAAGCAAACATGGATAGATAAACCAGCACGCGGCAGTTTTCATCAACCCTTCCTTGAAGTGTCAAATTTGACAATGAACCCCTCCCACATGGTTCTTTTGGGTCGATAAGTTCTTCATCTGTGAACATACTCTCAAAGCATGTCAAATGTCCATGACTATTTATCATATCGCAACATGCATAGGTATTTGCATTTCAATATCCCCTACTTTTTTTTGAAGAGTATATATAATTTATATCTTCGTTATAACTGATAAAATGTAAATAGATAATCTTTATATTTTAATACATAATATAGTACTTATATTATAACTTGATTTTTGATCTATTAGTGATTAGTAGAATATATCCATCATTTAATAATTGAATATGACATGTTCTGTTCACCCATTGTAAATAATCATTTTGTATCTTTTAAGTGTTTTTGTGTATAGTGTATATATTGTCCCGAAATAAACTGTTGTGTTATCAATTCGTCTAGACTGTTTATGTGCAACCCCGACCTGGAGTAGATCATGCGATCCTCCTGCTAAACACATTTTATCACATATGACGTCACATGTGGATTTTGGGTTAGGGTTAGGGCTGCAGATTTCGCCAAGGTCTCGAGATGTAAACAGGGTTAGGACCTGGAGATTTCATGAACGTCTCCGGATGTAAACATGGCTAGCGCTAACCCTAACCCTGGACCAAGCCTAACCCTAACCGACAAATGACGTCATATGTACAGGCTGTCTCCAATCTAGTGTTCCCCAATAAATTCTTGTTTTGACCTAAGTAATAATTACACGAAACGAATATCTGTGTTGACGATTTAGTTTTTGAGAGAGAAATGGGGTTTAATGTCAACTTGATACATACTAAGTCATTTTTGGACTAACATTCGGTTCAATTTTATTACAACTATAGCCTATGCTTGGGTGTAGATGGCAGGATGATCTACCACCACATACTACTACTAGGCCCTAAGCCTAACACATATGGGGGGTTGGATGGCCGAATGGTTAGCACGTGCGTGCTGTATCATAACATCTGTCATTGAGTCAACTGGCGTGGTTTCGAATCCCCGGTTGTACGTGGCAAGGAGTAGGGTGGCATGTCCAACCTCGTGGGTTTTCTCTGGGTGCTCCCAATGCTGAAGACCCCTACGTGCAAGGCAATTATTGAAATAACATTGAACCATGTGTTAGTCCCGAAATACCCTAGTTTGTGTCGAATGGACGTTAAACCCCATTTTTCTCTCTCCCTAACACATTTATTTAACCAAGCTTTTAACTGACTCTGTGTATATACAGCTTTTCACATATAAGCATAATTTTGGTTTTATGCTTATATTGTCACTTTGTAAAGTGCCCCTGAACACGTGATGTGAAAGGGCGCAGTATAAATATGCTGTAATAATAATAATAAACACTACGTCATTATTGTGAGAAACTAACACCATGATTTATTTGGAATGCTATTATATTTTGCTATAATTCAATTAATGCTGCCAATAATAATATTCCAATTTTAAAAAACGTCAAGATATTAGCATATTTTTATACAACCACTATGTTTTAAGTGTCACATGGCATAAAAATAATTGGCTTTACCAGACAAAATATCATATGATAAAGATGAAAATTATATGTGATCATGTCTTAATAACAAATTTTAATACTTTTGACCTATTTTGAATAAATGTAATAATGATAGGTATAATGAACTCAAGGGGTCATTTTGAGACTAACATGTATGAATTTATGAAATGAAATGCAGTTTTATATTGACTACTTTTCTGTACTGACTGGTCTCTGAAGAAGGGCATTCGCCATACAGTGTGCTATGAGGGAATTTAGTGTGGACAACGGCGATCTATGGCCTACTGTCAGGATTCTTTTATGTGCATGCCAACGTGTTCATGGGACCTTTGCAGGGGCGGATTGGGGCCATGTCGGAGTCCGTGAAAATTTTGAAAAATGAACCCCAAATATGCGATTTGGTGGCATATCTGATTATAATCTCTGTCAAATAATATATCTCATAACTCGATTAATTTAGGCCAAAACCCCGACCTGCAAGTAATTTATAACCATCAACCTGTTAAATTATCATATCGTTATATTATTAATTAACTTATTATCATTGTATCGTCAAGAGAATTTAACTGGTTAAAAAATGGGACTATTTGAGAAAATTTTGACCATTTAATTAACCAGTTAGGAATATTGAATAAGTAGGAATATTTTCATTGAAAAATGTCACATTTTTGATGCCGGGAGTGCTAGTTGATTCCTCCTGTGATGGAAGGCCACGAGACACATTGGTACAGAGTGACGAAAGTGAAATTCTGTAATTTCATCTCTGAAAATAACGAGTTAATAAAAATGTCAAGGAATGTTTAACACCAGCCTTAGGAAATCGTCTCGCACTGATATTCAGCCAGCAGACCAGCTATCATCAAATTTTGCTGAATCCTTAAAATTGAATTTTTTTTTTAGTTACGAACCATTGGCAGACGTTTCTGGCGTACCCCCCCCAAAGAGGATGCAGGTGACTTAATAATTATTAAATTTGCGGGCGACAGTGTCCGGTGAATCCGATGAAATTTTCGGATTGCAGGATTCCGAATTCCGGCCCACACCCAGCACATCTGGCCCAGAAAGTCTATTATACCAGCCCATTGCAGAATCCAGTGATGGCGTGGCGGCCCGTTAAAGCCACCGGCCTCATACAACATGATCATCATCACTCCATGGGCGGTCCAATACCCCCTCCCCATTATAATTAGCAGAAAAAGGTTTTTTAATCGAATTGGACATAATTATTTTTTTCATTTTTGGACCGACCGGCCCTTCGGGCGTTCGGGCAATCCGCACCTGGACCTTTGTTTTTTGTCTCATCCGAGGAACTGAACACTGTTCTTTGATGGGCTACCTGTCCTGCCCAGCTGCCAAGAGGAAACCCAGAGGAACTTTCTTGGCCAACACTTACAGCAAATCCAAGACCTTCTGGTAAGCTAGCCGCGGCGGTACCTTACTGACTTAGCCAGCGGGGGACAATTAATCTGCAGGATATATTCATTAAGAGGATACAATACAGAAATCATGGCTAAGATTCAAATAACTGGGATGGCTAAACAACTTAATCCCTATTTGGCAAAGGTTACACTTACTGCAGGGCTGGCAAGAATGGTTAAGCTTAGCCATTCAAGTGGGACCTACCAACATTCCAAACCTCAATGTCAATCAAATTTAATTAAATATTTTACCAATATATTTGTCTAATAATGGTCCATACTTTACTCTACAAATATAAATATCAAAATAATATTTTAATAATTTTTTTTTTATTAAGAGAGCAAATTATCCAGTATCCATAGTTACCATACCAAATAGCATCAAATATTGTATCATGATTTCAATTTCTGTCTAATTATATCAGCGGTTAGTTCTGTTTATTTTTTTCAGAATTAGTCATTAGTCGTACTTGGTTATTTACTGTCTCCTTCCACAATAATGATGGCTTTGATACAGTTTGGATATAACCAGTCATCCATTAAAATTAAATCAATAAATGGCAGACAAAGCTAACGTTTACCGTTTACGCTGATCTCATTACCAGAAACTGGTGATGAAAGGCCTTCCAAGCGAGGCTACCATAGCCATTGAGCATGTTACTTGATAATCGAGAATATGTTGGTGGAGTTATTGTCTGTCAATCAAACGATCCTCAATTCTCATAGACGGTGCAGACACAATTGATGCCTATTTCTAGTCTAAACTTCCAACCATGACAATTCCGTTTAGAACATTTGACTGAAATTTTCAACATTTTCAGTTTTTATCATCTAATTTTGAATTATTATAGCAAGAATGGCCAACTCGAAATAACCAATCGAAATACCAAAACTAAAATAACATTCAGTGTTAATTACATCTTCCATTTCTATCTCAAATTTATATTCATTTTACATACAGATAAGCTTGCATGTTTCAAAAAATAAATAATATTTCTCTGTATTCTCGATTGTTTTACAAACCAATTTACATATATTACATATAAAAGATATACAGTGATCAAAGAGATTAGTTAACGCATACATTTTCTTGTTTGACATTGATATAACTTTATTTTCCTTTTATGTACATAGAAAGAAAAAAGAAAAGCTATTTACATTTATACTCAAATTTCACAAAATAACTAATTTAGCAATAAAAACATTTGAACTGATCTTAACTTAAAAGGATAATTTGACAAAAAGACAACCAAAAATTGGTCATTATTGAAATTAAAAGACAAAGGCAGTTATTACATGCATATAATTAAAAAGATGATACCAGAAAATGGAGGTTTAATAATCTCTTGTCTTGGATAAAAAATCAGACGGACAAATAAAAATGAAAGATATTAGTCTAAATGATCTAGACACTAGAGGTGGGAACTCAAGTCCCGCGACTCGGGACTTAAGTCTGATTTAAATCGCTTCAAAGACCCCGACTTGTGACTTGACATATTTATTGGGACTCAACACGGCAGTCGTGACGAGTCACGGCAAGGGGCATAACTCTAACTGAATCATTTGATGAACTGGCGATTTGAATTGGACTCGGGCTTTGCGAAGACTTGGGTCTCAACTCGGTACTTAAGTCGGCGACTTGGAACTCGATTTGGACTCGAGGTCCCGTGACTTGTTCCCACCTCTGCTAGACACTGTGTGAGCAGTACTTAACAATTTAGAATTAAACTTTACTAAGCACAGAAACTCAATGTTGATAGTATTGGACACAGTAATGCTTTAGAATATTTAGGCAACACAATTAAAATAAGTTGGCTCCGCGTGCGGCCTATTTATTAGTCTTGATGAAAAATAAAAAATATGTAACGCCCGCCCGAACATCGATAAGCAAGTCATAAAAAGAATATGCTGCATGTACCTACATGCGTCATACGTGTATATCCATTCAAATGTATTAAACTGATCCAGATGTAAATGCTCATTTACAGGTCTTTTTTTATTGATATCGAAAGAACCTCCATTTTTGTATCTCATGATTTTAATGGTATCACGTCATTTGGGACTCACGTCATTTGGGACTAAACATAAACGACATTTGGGACTCAGTTGATGACGTTTGGGATTTGATTGGCGTCAATTGGGACTCAACACAAACGACATTTGGGACTCAATATAAACGACAGTTGGGACTATTTATTTATGAGATATATAATAACAGCTGTCTTAGTTGTCTTTCGTTTTATTTAGTTGATCGGCGATTTTTGAGACCGCGATTAACACTGCTAGTTCTCCTTTGTTTTGTTTTATCTGCGAGTATAAAACTTCTCCTTATTTGTTTTGTTTTATCTGCGAGTATAAAACTTGACAATAATATATTGTTGAAAATTTGTGTATATTTAGTAATACTTCGTTGTTTTTCTTTTATCAAATAGTAAACGAGCTTGATTGACCGACCACTGCTAATGTTTTTTCGTGAAACGGTATAACTGCAATCAACACACGGCCGCCATTCTCGCGATTGACAACTCACGTTTTTCCTCATCCACCAAAGAACCGTTAGGTTTCTTTGAACATACTGCAATAACATCGGGATTATCAGTTAATCAGCTTTAATTATCCCGCTTTGATCGTTGCCATTTCTTATATTTTCCACAAAAAAACTTTGCCTTGCACGCACTAATTTATCGATTGGTATTGCCATCTACGACAAGCATGTCAACGTGCAGCTCACGGATTATCGTCAACAGTTTCAAGGGGCTTGTAAAAAAGATTGCATGTCGTGTAAATATTTATTTTGTTTTTTTGTGTAGGTCATTTTCAAATAAATTCATCAGCATATTATTCGTTTTAAATAAATATATAACTTTTATGAGAAACGATGATTATCAAAGAATCGTAAGTGCAACTAATGTTTTATCGTTTGGTTGAGCCTTTTACTAACCACGTGTTTCATGTTAATAAATATTTTCTTTCGTGTTTTGAATTGGCCTATTTCTAATAAATTATCCCGAGTCCTAAACGTCGTATTCCCGAGTCCCAAACGACGTATACCAAAGTCCCAAACGTTGTATACCCGAGTCCCAAATGTCGTGGTCATATTTTTTTGAGTCCCAAATGACGTGAGTCCCAAATGACATGTAATCATTTTAATTACCTCCCCTGGTGAACTAGAATTCGATTCCTGTTCAACACCGAAAGCCATTGACAACAATGCAATGTATTTCAATCATTCGATATTAATCGGCTCATTATTGCCGGCTTCAGTCGGTCCATGTTTGAAAAATCCTACTGATAAAACAATGAATCGTAGAACAGGTTAATTTTACTTGTGGCTACGAATACGACACGATGATAGTCACCATACCTCAGTCAGAATTTGAGTCATATATTAGCACATTTAACAGTAGTTTGGATAGTCCGGAAAATAATAATTGGATTACACATTTGATGGTTTTACTGACCAGTTGTTAGTTAAATTTAAATAGTCATTCGATATAAACCCCAGATAGAACACCGAACATCATGAGAAACACACCGAATATCCTGAGAAACAATCATTTCCTGAATCCCGATGACACGTGACATGCAATGGTTGGAATTAGGTCAATAATTATAAACCAGCGATACTAGATTTAGTTCTAAGTGTCGTTTACCGTGATGATTATTTTTGATACACATGCTGACAGAGGCTTACTCTTTGAAATATTGTCATTATTATGGACGGCTATTAATAGTCGTACGGAATTTTATTTTAACCCAATTTCAATTATGTTTGTCACCATTACCATTAGTAAGCTACATTACGTGAATTAAATATGGAAAATTATTTTCCTTTCAGTCAGTGTTCAGTGTTTGAGTAGACTTGATTTTTGGGTTTATGTTCTAAGTATGTACAATATATAACTGAAAGCAAAACCGTAGACAAGTAATGACTTTCTCATTAAAAAAAAATAAAAAAATACAAGGCCGCCTTCCCGCCCCAACAATTTTCAACAATAGCCAAATTTTATTTTGCACCATCCTCTAGCCAGCAATGGGGTAAAAAAAAAGAAAAGAAACCGCCCTCCCCCCCTACAGTTTCAGCTCTCAGTTGCCCGCGAAACAAGACATTTATTTTGTGTAGCCTTCGTTGGATATTGTTTTAAAGTACCGTAATTGTCTTTTTCCTGGACTCCTTTACATTTTATAGAGCACCAATATTTTTAGTAGACTATAATCAAAATATTTGCTACTTTTTTAATATGTCCTATTATTGGATTTTAATTTCTGATTTACAGAATACATATGTAGATCTTTAATTCCACTCCTCATCCAGTTCCTCCTCATCGCCCTCTCCATTATTATGTCTGTTTTCAACTGGTGGTTCTACCGGTCGTATATTGTTTAGTAAATCTCTCATAGCAGTCATTAGAGCTCCTACACCTTGCTGTAAATTATTTCTACCCTCACCACCAACAGCTCCATCATCTACTGGTGCCACTGGTTCCTGCAAGTGTAAAAGAATTAAATTTCAGTTCTAAGTGTGATGAAATTTCTGTAAATATTAACATTTGTAAATCAACTCTACATTAATTATTTTTGAGGCATTTTCCTTGTTAATATTTAATGCTGAATAATTTTAACAAGGCAGCCAAATCATTGAACATTATGCAAGAGGTAAATCTGCCTATTGCAGGTCTTTCTTTAGGCCTGAAATGTTATTTAAACTATTAATTACACATTTATTAACAAAACAAGACAATAATCAACTCTGGACGGCATTTGAAAATGGGAAAGCGAGGCTAAATCGCGAATATACCAGTGTGCTAGTTACCACTATGCACACATCTTGTCAAAACAGAGAGAGAGAAATGTGGTTTAACGTCCACTCGACACAAACTAGGTCATTTCGGGACTAACATGGTTTATTTTTATTTCAATAATTCGCTTGCGCGTAGGGGTCTTTAGCAGTGGGAGGAAACCGGAGAAAACCCACGAGGTTGGACAGACGACCCTACTCCTTGTCATGTACAACCGGGGATTCGAAACCACGCCAGTTGACTCAATGACAGGCTTTATGATACAGTGCACATGCTAACCATTCGGCCATCCAACCCCCCTCGTGTCAAAACAATAAACAGTGATAATTTGGCTCAGAATAAAGTAATTTGGCTGAAATTTTCAATATTTTCTTTTTTTATCATCTATTTTTGAATTATTATAGCAAGAATGACCAACTCTTTATTAAACTCTTAACTAATGTATCTTTAAGCAGTGCTGGATTAACCTTGTGGGGGGGCCCGGGACATACCAACTTTGCGGGGGCCCCATTGTTGTTTGTTCAAATTGTTCGTACTGACAGCGGAACATACTAGCATGAACTCCGCATCCGTATGTACTGAGCATATGTCAAATCAAGACAGAAAATCCCAAACAAAAGACAAGGAGAAACCAGCGGCTGCCAGGCAGGATACGCCCACATTTTCGAGAGATGGATAGAGAACAAGCTAACAAGAAAGTGATTTTTCCTACAATCAAGGGCCATAATTCAGGAAATTACAATTCAATATGCGCATATATCGAAAGGAACTGAACGAACGGCAGCCATTTTGTCTGTCAATTTTGGGCTGATTTTCACGAAATTCGAACTCAGTCGTCCTCAGGGTGTAACGGTGATATAATAATACGTTTTTTTAAATCGGATAAAAATTAGGATCCACAAGCTAAAAACGCAATTTTTCGTACAATCAGGGGCCATAATTCAGGAAGTTACGGTCCGATATGTGCGAATATCGAAAGGAACCAGGGTGTAACCGTGATATAATAATACGTTTTTTAAATCGGATAAAAATTATGACCTCTATAGGATCCACAAGCTAAAAACGCAATTTTTCGTACAATCAGGGGCCATAATTCAGGATAAAAATTGTGACCTCTATAGGGTCCACAACCTTGATATAACATATTCTTATGCTATTCCAGAACGAACGGCGGCCATTTTGTCTGTCAATTTTGGGCCGATTTTCACGAAATTCAAACTCAGTCATCCTTAGGGTGTAACGGTGATATAATAGAACGTTTTTTTAAATCGGATAAAAATTATGACTTCTATAGGGTCCACAAGCTAAAAACGTGATTTTTCGTACAATCAGGGGTCATAATTCAGGAAGTTACGGTCCGATATGCACGAATATCGAAAGGAACCGAGATCTTTGGGTTATAAACTTATATTTCAAGTTTCAACAAAATTGGATAAAAATTGTGACCCCTATACGGTCCACAACCTTGATATACCATATTCTTACGCTATTTGGGAACGAATGGCGGCCATTTTGTCTGTCAATTTTGGGCCGATTTTCACGAAATTCGAACTCAGTCATCCTTAGGGTGTAACGGTGATATAATAGAACGGTTTTTTAAATCGGATAAAAATTATGACTTCTATAGGGTCCACAAGCTAAAAACGTGATTTTTCGTTCAATCAGGGGCCATAATTCTGGAAGTTACGTTCCGATATGCACGAATATCGAAAGGAACCGAGATCTTTGGGTTATAAACTTACATTTCAAGTTTCAACAAAATCGGATAAAAATTGTGACCCCTATAGGGTCCACAACCTTGATATACCATATTCTTACGCTATTTGGGAACGAACGGCAGCCGTTTTGTCTGTCAATTTTGGGTCGATTTTCAAGAAATTCGAACTCAGTCATCCTTAGGGTGTAACGGTGATATAATAGAACGTTTTTTTAAATCGGATAAAAATTATGACTTCTATAGGGTCCACAAGCTAAAAACGTGATTTTTCGTACAATCAGGGGCCATAATTCAGGAAGTTACTGTCCGATATGCGCAAATATCGAAAGGAACTGAGATCTTTGGGTTATAAACTTACATTTCAAGTTTCAACAAAATCGGATAAAAATTGTGCCCTCTACAGGGTCCACAAGCTAAAAACATGATTTTTCGTACAAACAGGGGCCATAATCCATGAAGTTTCGATCCGATACATGCCAATATCGAAAGCAGCCGAGATCTTTTGGGGATAAACCTATATTTCAAGTTTCGTCGAAATCGGATAAGAATTGTGACCTGTAGAGAGTCCACAAACAATTGTGGACGGACAGGAGCGACGGCATAATACGTCCACATGAAAATGTGGGCGTATAAAAAGACGTAAAATTTAGGCAGGAAACATGTTCAGATCTGTCTGAACTACTATACTATGATTACGTTAATTTCCCGGGACTGGTTGGGCCCCAGCAATCACATCGCGGGATGGGGTCCCCGGAACTGGCTAGGACCTATTGATTGGTAGAACCTCTAAGTTATGTAATTTAGTTAATTTTAGGGCCTAACCGATCTCTGGGCCCCCGAAAATCTGTTAGTACCTACCAGTCCCGGGGCTCCCAATATCCCTTACTGCCCAGGGCCCCAATCCGCACCCCCTCAGCCCAGGTACTGGTCGACTCCGTCCAGGATAAAATATTAGTATGACCCAGAATTGTGGGGGGGCCCGGGACAAAATTTTCCGACTTTGCCCCCCCTAGATCCAGTACTGTCTTTAACAAGGTAAATAGTTTGACAAAATCTTTTTTTTTAATAACCCTTTTTTAAAAATACTTTTGAGTATATCTCACTACCCCTTGAAGTATGTTAGATATTAACTTACTGAAGAAGGAAAAATATAACTAAACAAATTTAATGGTCACAGCTTTATCTATAGCTTAACTCATTTTTATAGCCTGGTACATAACATGGAGACAGAGGTTACTTATAAGCTATTATTACTGTAATCAGACTAGTGTATACTGTTTACATCAGTCTGTGTCAAGAGCAGATAATATGTTATTTGGGACATGATGGAGAAGTTACCAACCACTATTATAAACTAAGATTGTTGATTTTTATTGTGGTACATACTTACATTTGCATTAAAATTTGGCAAAAGAGATCTTAGAAATAATGAAAGAGGATTACTGGCTTCTTGTGCTTGAGTTGGCCTGAAAGAAAATTTTGAATATTGTTTGATCAAGAGACATTAGTTTAATATTTGTTGTCTCAATTGTTATTCATAGAATTCAGTTAACATATTTATTCATTCATGCTTTCAAACTATAATTTTATAAAAGAAATCAACAAAACAGTAGGGACAATTTTATTAATGAAATTCAACACCTTCCCTCTGATTAGGGTATTACATTAGAATCTAAAGAATAATATATCTGAGAAAGACATAATTCTTATACTTTCAAGAAAGGTTAATTACTTTTGATTGTACAGTAAACGTTGCATAAGTCGGATTCGTATAAGTCGGATCTTTGCTCAACTCGGATAAAATCGTTTGGACCCTTTGATCCTGCACGTTTTTCTTATTAAATTTCTGTGCGTAAGTCAGATTTCCTAAGTCAGATCTTTGCTCAACTCGGATCAAAATGTTCTGTCCATTTAATCTAATTTCGGCTTTTTTCCTTCGCCTAAGTTGGATCGGCAGTATGTTCAGAATTTGACTAAGTCAGTTTCGTCTCGATGGTCTAAAACATGGTTAGCTATTCCATGCACAGAGCCCCAAAATACTTTCTTCTATCATTTTGACTCAAATCAGCCTATTTGACACGACGCAATAATAGGATTTTCCCGGAAAATTTGAAACTTGCTGTCTGCTGTACGAGACACTTTCTGGGCAAATTTAGGACATTTTTCAAAGATGGCGACAAAACGGAAGTTATCTACTCGCACATAACTCGGATCTTCGCTTAACTAGGATAAAATTTGTCAGTCCACTTCCGACATATGCGAAGTTGACTGTATTTTGATAAACTAATAAACCTACCTTCCTGGTCTCTGGTAAGTTTCAAATGAATCTACTGGCGGAAGTGGATCATAACTTAATACAGGTGTATTGGCCAGTTCCTTTTAAAATAATTTAATGTCATTGGCAATTTCAAACAAAGTTTGTTTTTTTTAAAACTTTAAACTTAATATCCAAAGTATAAAAAAGTAGTTTTCTCTGAGAATACCAAGATTCAAATGATTAAATTAGAACGATAAATGGTTTTAAAACAATATTTCATTTGTAGTTTTGAAAATATATAATATTTCACTGATACAAGAGGTAGATAGTAATATCTGAAACATGAGAAGTCCCTTTAATATTTCCTCATAATGTCATTTTAATAAATTAGAGGTTTGTCAGTTATATCAATGGATGTCTGATTTTCTGAACTGTAGGTAATTAAAGATGTGAATTGTAGTTAACTTACTGGAGGTAAATTGGCTGTGACATCTTTTATTTCAGATAATATAATATGCCTTAATATATTTCTGGGTGTACCTTGATATCGCCTTAATCGTCTAAAAAAAACACACCCAAACAAACCCTGATAATATTTCACAAATATATGAAGATTTTGCCATTAGGTTATAACTATCTATTTCAGAGTACGAATGGAATGCCTTTCAGCACATGTACAAAAGATTTGACAATCTTGTGTTAGGTCATTTTTAAATGTAATGAATACGAATCGTGTTTTTTTCCGGTCAAATTCCATGATTCAGCACCATTTGAATACAGCTTATAAACCTTGTACTTCAAAATGACAAATACTAATATTCTAACAATTTTGAATGAAGACAAAGAGTCTAGATTTGGATATTGAGCTATCATACACCACTAAATTCACATATTTATGTTAAATTTACTAACACCTCAAGTAAGAAGGAAAACAAATATTTCTAGCACGAATCTAATCAGAAATTGGTGAATTTTCATCATAATGCTCAGTAGAATGGCTAGAATATAGCTAAAGCACAAGTGACAAATCGGTTGGATTTGTGGTCTAAGGGGAGATAATATTGTGCTAAAGACAAATGGAAAGAGTTACCTCCCTTCAAGGCTCTTTTTCTAATATTTAAAAATGAAAGCACAGCACTCTGAACGTGGTTCACAGGCATGCAATACTAAAAATGGTCAAGACTGATAATAATATGAAATAATAGAGCATTATATTCCTAAATGGAATGGGACCAAACTACTTACTGTTGTTTATACTGTTCTATACAAGGTTGTTTACTGTCAACTTTTTCTAATACATGTTTAACATTTCTCTCTAACCATGAAATCACTTCAGGTTCTTTCCAGCAAGAAAATGTGCGCTGTACATATAGTGTAATAAGCTGTTTTAATGATTCCGTTTGACTGAAAAACATAATTATGCAGCATATTATGAATTATATTTAGTTAAATGTAACAGCTCTGTAACATCAGGCTACAATTAAAGCTTCTGATACAATATTGTAGAAATGAAATGAAATGAAATAGGGTTTAACATCCTACTGTTCTGCTCAAAACCTGGGCTAATGAAGACGGGTATACGCCATACAGTGTGCTATGAGGGAAATTTTGCCCGGGCAGCAGCGCTACAGCCTACTCTTATCTCGAATTCCAACTGCCAAGGGATCTTTTACGTGCACGCCAATGCGTACACGGGACCTCGGTTTTTCATCCCATCCGAACGACTAGACAGCTGTCCTTGTCAGGCCCTCCATCCTGCATCACTGACAAGGGGAAACCACGCCGGAAAATCTGAATGAACTTTCTCGGCCAATGCAGGGATCGAACACCCGACCTCCAGGCTAGCGAGCCAGCGTCTTACCCACTTAGCCACGTGATCCCCCCAATATTGTAGACAAGGTCAGAACGATCCTAAACCAAAAGGCCAAAATTAGCTTTAATCTTAACCTTCCGAAAAACAGTCCAAATTTATGTTAATATATATTTTTAGTTTCATAATAGGTGGTTTTGACGAAATGTTCGAGACTTTTTGGTTTAAACCTGTTTTGTCTACAACCCATATAAATAAGACAGCGTCACATAAGTGTTAGTTAAAATCTGTTGATGGACCTCTTTATCATAAGATAGAATTCAAACTTGCAAATTACCTACTGTAGATATTTAGATATTGTCTTCCTATCAATTGTTACATTATCAGTTTGAGTATATTTTAGCATAGATTAAAGCATGAAAAACTTAATATTTATTAATATGTTGCTACAATATGATATGCAAGAATATCCTGCCAAATTAATTAGTTTGATCTGAGGACAAATGTTCTCAACAGTGTATTTAAAACTCAACGATTTCCAATTAATTTCTGCAAAAAATATGAAAGTCTATTTGTGTGTGATAATTTCAGTGGATAATATGAGATAAATATTACCCTAACCGAAAGTTGATATGTGAAATAACCCAAGGCCGGTGGGTACATGTATTAGGGTAATATTTGTCTCACAAACCGACATCAATGTAAAATCTATCACCTATATATCGATATCAGATAATACCCTCTGATGACATCACAACAAGTTAATACGTTTGATAAAATGCATGGGAGATCAAAGGAAATAACATCCCAAGGTGTGTAAGAACAGATAGCAACACACAGATGACATCATAGGTGGTGGGGGGGGGTGACATTCAGTGATGAAATGTAGGATTGTTTACGACTAGAGAGAGGAGAGAATGGGGTTTAACGTCTACTTGACACAAACTAGGTTTAGTTTTATTCAATAAGTCGCTTGCGCGTAGGGCTCTTTAGCAATGGGAGGTAACCGGAGGACCTGGAGAAAACCCACGAGGTTGGACAGGTGACTCTACTCCTTGTCACGTAAACCAGCGAATCGAAACCACGCCAGTTGACTAATCACAGACCTTCTGATATTATATAACGCGCATGTACTAACCATTCGGCTATCTAACCCCCCCATAGGAAAATACTGTAATATAAACCAATCAAAGCGGGGAAAATTATATATTATACATGATGTTTGTATACTGGTATGTAACGCTGCCTGCCAATGTATTTTTATTAATCCAGAAGTAATCTGCCTCTTGAAAACCTCTTTATCTTTAGACATATATTTACCTAGTTTGGGCAGAATGTTGAAAGAAAGTATGACCAGTTACTGATAAATCTGGTGTTATACCACATTTCTCTAACATTGGCATTAAAACCCCTGGATACATCATCAGACTCTTCTGTAACTATATATGAAAAAAGAACATAATAAGGATTGTTAATACTTTTTTAACAAAACACAACACAAGGTTATATATGGATATAATTACTTCTCTATGATTTAATAACGACGTTTTGTAACACATACAGGTCACGTTTTCAAGTTCATGATAAATATCCATCTAGTCAGCCTATTTATACATATTTTAGCTTACACAAACTTAATTAATAATAAAAAGAAACCAATGAACACCGAATGGCGACTACAATCAAGAAAGGAGATAGATCAGCAATAGCTCAGCATATTATGGACAACCCTAATCATACTATAAAATGGCGAGACAAACAGATTCTAGCAAGAAACATCAAGTCCAGCAAACAGTTACATATCCGTGAAGCTATAGAAATCTGTAGACACAACCCGACTTTTAATAGAGCCACTGGTCTATTTATAACCAATGCTTGGGATGACTTGATAGTTTAAATTCTGTGTGTTATGTGTTGTTAGAACTTTGCGCGTCATTAACGGTTACATGCTAATTATATATTAACAATTTAGTAGTTACTTTTTAATGCTTAATATGTATAGTTATATATACTCTTCAAAAAAAGTAGGGGATATTCAGAAACAATACAAAACTGTGGAAATGCACTGCTGTTTTTATTAGAGGTAACCAGTGTATGTTAATAACAGGCCAATTGCCTACACATGAACATAAACAGATCAAATGGGCAGCTTATCTGAGGGCCCCATTTCACTCGCAAAGAGATACACCGTCAAAAGTGAAAATGGTTGTTTTTGATTTTGTCTTAATAATGAGTAATTGCTCCACCAATCCTCAGACATTCAGCATTTCGTCGTGGCATGCTCCTAATCAACCGTCCAATCACGATTTGGGGCAATCTGACCCACTCCTCTTGCAGTGCCACGGCCAATTCTTGCAGTGTTGTCCATTGACGTTGACGAACACGTCTCCCGATCAAATTAAACCTAACACACTAAAGCAAAGATACGCTAAACAGTAAATCTTATGCAAGAACCGATATGAAAGCAAACACGGATAGATAAAAACCAGCACACGGCAGTTTTCATCAACCCTTCCTTGAAGTGTCAAATTTGACAATGAACCCCTCCCACGTGTATAGCACTATTGCGTGTCGCATGTACAGCTCAGTGGTTCTGTTGGGGCGATAAGTTCTTCATCTGTGAACATAATCTCAAAGCATGACAGATGTCCATGACTATTTATCATATTGCAACCTATAGGTTTTTGCATTTCAATATCCCCTACTTTTTTTAAAGAGTATATAATATGGTAGTTTACTTCATGTCAGGTTGTTACTTGTTTATATTTTCGTTCTCCTGGTGTAATTAATATCTATTAATTATATACATAAACACATACAGGTTTCAATCAAGTATCAATTTAGAGCAGTGTGGCCTGATATCTGATTAAATGCTTATAGTTCTTATTTTATTTTGTATAACCCTATTAAGTTGGCATGCTGGCATACTGGTTCGAAGGTGTTTTTTCTATTATTTGTAACATATTATATTTTCGTTATTACTGCCAAGTTCTAAGTTAACAGTTATTAAGTTGTGGTTATTAATGTTGGTCTGAGTAAGATGTGATATGGTGAAACCCTATTAAGATTGGTTGTTGTCCTTTGGTACCGATTATCTGTTATTATCCTACTAAAGGGTTAGTCATTATTATTGTTTGTATTATTTATTGTTATTGTAGGTGCTTCTAATTATTTTAATGGTTTCTTCTGATTATTAATTAAGTTTGTGTAAGCCAAAATATGTATAAATAGGTCGACTAGATGGATATTTATCATGAACTTGAAAACGTGACCTGTATGTGTTACAAAACGTCGTTATTAAATCATAGAGAAGTAGTTATATCCATATATACCTTGTGTTGTGTTTTGTTATGAATAGTTAACCATGCTTCTAGATGTCATTTAAAGAATTAATACTTTTCTAAATTAGTGTTGGAAACTATAATGCCTTTATGTTACACAGTGTCAAATTTTCTTTTCATTAAATAAATTTAGGCATCCAACAGAAACTTTGGTTTTTACACACATAAAAGATGTTCTATCCTTTCATAGTTTCAGTGTAAAAAATTAAAAAATGCTTACCAATTCATCAGCCTTTTCAAGATCCTCGTCAGTGTTTGCTAAATGAAATTTGGCTAGTGATATTGAAAATCCAAAATTTGGTAACTGCGAGAGATTTCTATGGGCTTCCCATTCCTGATATAGTCTAATAAGAAAATCATACTGTTCACATCTCAATGCATAGAAGTCTATACACAGTAAAACACAGAGTGGATCATCATCTGCATCTAAACTACACAAAAATATAGAAAATTTATAAGTTATTGTTATACATTATACTCATATAGATTAATACGTAATTTTTATAAGTTACCCTCAATATTAATCACTGTTTCCGATTGTTAAATTTTTTTTTTTATTCGGTTGTACAGTTATAAATATACTCTCTTGAGCTTAATTATATCATCTAGTGCAGCAAAGAATATTGTTATCTGAATGAATGCTATTACTTGATAAAACTCACCTTAATAATAATTTACTTAGTTCCAAAGCAGTTCTATAACAACCTTTCTGACCAACATTTAATAAATGTTTATATAAGCAAAGAAAAAATCCCCTGAAAAAAAAGTTGTTGTAAGTTTTACATTCCTTTTCTGTTCAAATGACTGTAATGGAAAGAACCTTGTACAGGTCTCTATCAGGTTTGCTCATGCACCATGCTACCATTACAATATAATTTATTTATTCCAAACAATAACAATCACAAACACACATTGGGCTGTCAGGCATATTACCGGAATTAAAAGTTTCCGGTCCATTTCAACAAATCATGAGGTCGATTTATGAAACGGAAGGGAGTTTCTCCTTTTGGGAAAGTAAAAGTAGCATTGGCATATGACCATTTTTCATGAGAAATTTCCTCCCGTGCGGGAGAAGGGCCGCGAATTCGTGAGTCTCACGGAAAAAACAGGTTAGCTAACACACGAAACAACAAATGTTAATTTTCCAGGAGTTTCAAAGAGTAATCTTGTTTTTCCAGGATTTTCCAGTACTGGAAATCACATTTTCATTTTTCCAGGATTTTCAAGGAGTTTCAAGGAGTGTGCGAACCTTGTATAAGAAAACACATAAAATCTAAAGATAATTTAGCTTAGCACTCAAGACATCTTCACCAGTCTCTAAACAAATATTTCAATCTGATATGATTTGGCTATACAGATGCCTCACAGGAAGGTGGGGTGGGGGATGGGTCATATAAAATTGTGCGCAGCTGGTTGAAATTGATGAAATGCATTAAAAGATTAATGAAGTGACAGACTGCTTCTTCAAGTGGCATTTAGTAGCTGACAAACACATTACTATTAATTTATTCCAAACCATATTTCGATCAAAGCATATAACAGCTCTATATATATACTATTCAAAAAAAGTAGGGGATATTTGATTTTTAAGTGTTATTAAAGTCACCTAATGAAACTGACGAAGAAACAAATGACAAAATGAAATGAAGTTCACATTCATCGATTTATTCCAAATGATCGTTAGACTAAGTAAGGCACAGACTGACCATTATAAGGGTAAAATGATACCCGGGGTCAAACAGCAAAGTTACCACAGCATCACAACCAAGTCAGTAACGGGTAAATCCTCCTCTGTTTGCCAAACAAGCATTGATCCGACGTGGCATACTCCTAATGAGACGTCTAAGGTCATTTTGGTCCAGATTGTCCCATTCCTGTTGCAACGCAGCAGCAAGTTCTTGGACATTGGCAGGACGTTGTTGACGTTGACGTAACCTCTGTCCAAGCATGTCCCAGACATGCTCGATGGGGGAGAGGTCGGGACTCAGTGCTGGCCAAGGTAATGTGGTGATGTTCTGTTGTTGGAGGTAACCTGTAACGATCCTGGCCCTGTGACATCTTGCGTTGTCATCCTGGAAGATGAAACGGCGGCCATGACGTCGTGCGAACGGCACAACATGGACTGCCAAGATGTTGTCCCGGTAGTACTGGCCTGTAACACGCCCTGCAACAACATGTAAAGCCGTTCTTCCAGCAACAGTGATGCCTCCCCACACCATAACAGAACCACCCCCAAATCGATCATGTCTGATGACGTTAACGTCTTGGAAGCGCTCGTTTCGACGACGCCACACCCTCCTACGTCTGTCCAAAAAATCAACAGTGAACCTTGACTCATCTGAAAACATCACATTGCTCCAGCGTCGATTATCCCAGTGTTGACGATCCCTACACCAACGACGTCTTGCCTGAATGTGATGATCTCTCAAACAAGGGATCATGCGAGGACGTCGGGCGCGAAGGTGACCCCTATGCAGTCGATTCCGAATCGTCTGGCCACTCACTCTCACACCAGTGTCTGTTTGAAGACGAGCGCTGATCTGATTTGCTGTGATGACACGATTTCTCAAGGCCAAGGTACGGATAAATCGATCCTGGGCTTGAGTTGTCGCCCTTGGTCGACCTGAGCGTGGTCTGTCCTGTACAGATTGTGTATCATGGTATCTGGACCATAGCCTGCTTATGACAGACTGAGAAACATTCATCGTCCGCGCCACAACCGCCTGTGTTGTGCCGATCTGTAGCATGACAAGGGCACGTAACCTTTCATTTTGGGTAAGCCGACGCATATCAAAATTTGTTTTCTGGTCACTAAAACAATTAAACTGATGTTTCCACCCTGGAATTCAATGCCACAATGACTGTAACATTCAAAGTCAGAGTCGTGCAAATCTTGGGTTGGACCCCCCATGATGATCCCAAGCATCACCTGCATTCCATGCGGTAGCTATTGGTGCGTTTGGGTGTCACATGTAACTGGAAATGTTTCTTCTGTTAGGTTCTATAGTGACTTTTTTCGTAGTCATTTGCATATTTTAGTATTATGCCCCCAAAATCAAATATCCCCTACTTTTTTTGAATAGTATAATATATAGATGGTTATGTTCGGTATTATTAGTGAAATATGTAAGATATAATAGATATAAAAATACATGTACCTGTTTTCTGGTTTACGATAATCTAAACGACAGTTACCACTGGTTAAACTAAACAATGGATGGAAGGCACATTCAAATGCATACAAGGCTTTTTCTAAAATGAATCAAATTTACAATACTTCAGTGAAATGCATTAAAACATTTAAATTATTTATCATCATGAAGTTGAGAGAAATAAAAAGGCCAGTATTTTTAGTAAGTACGGGTGTATATGGCTAGAACAACAGCTTGTCAGGTGAAGTTTAATGTAATGATGCATCCTTCTATAAACAAATCCTTGCAGAAGAATATGCTAAATTGCATGAAAAAGAGTTATTGTTACTTTACTTGTCTAAGAGTAAGACACATAAAGATGGCAGTGTGAGATCAATATGACCATAACTAGTCATCCTCAATAAGACTTTGACCAAAATATTTTTGAATAAAAACAATTGATTGTGTATGAATATGGCCTTTAACCATATTTAACCGTTATTCTGGCATGTTGACGCTTTAAAGGACAATATAGGTGCCAGTCATTATCACGTATGTGATAGAACTGGTTAAACACGTTCCAAATATTATTTTATCACAGAGATCATTACTACGATAGAGGCGTAATCAATGCTGCAACAATCGGAAATGACGAACGCAAAAGGAAAACACGAGTTATCCCTCTATATAACTGATTGAAGTGACGAGTGATAACAGATAGATGGGCGAATTTCTGCTAACTAATAATTCCTTTGAAGACCAAATGTTGTTATACGAGACTGTAAGAGTATATCTGACAATTCAAAAAAGTAATTGCATGTCATTAGATAAGAGAACACGAGAAAAATAGAAACAGTCTGTACATTCACGGGTGTTTATTCATTCTATCCTTATAAAAACATGGTAATGCACGGACTTTTTCTATTTTTCTTTCATGTTCTCTTATCTAGTGACAGTCAATTTTTTTTATGAATTGTCAGATATCCTTTCACAGTCTCACACAACAACTTTTGGTCTTCGAAGGAATTATTAGTGGGCAGAAATTCGCCCGTGTACCTGTTAGCACCCGTCACTTCAATTAGTTATATAGAGGGATAACTCGTGTTTTCCTTTTGCGTTCGTCACTTCCGATTGTTGAAACATTGATTCCACATCTATCGTAGCAATGATCTCTGTGATAAAATAATATTTGGAACGTGTTTAACCAGTTCTATCACATATATGATAATGACTGGCACCAATGTTGTCCTTTAAGTTTACCTATCAATTCTGCAGCAGCAGCCATATCTTCACTCATACGGAATATTTCACTCAGTTGTATAAGTCCACCAATATGATATGGATGCAAATGAAGAAGATTCTGAAATAAACAATATATTTTTCAAAGAATATTTAGAAATCAGAATTTTTTTAATGTTTTCCGTTTTAATTACACAGAAAGCTGGTATGTGAATTAAATATGGAAAGATTTAGCAGACCTGTTCTTTTTTTTCTTTTTTTGTGGTAATAATACATATTAGCACATTCAGAATGTGGTTTGGTACATTAAAAATTATCAAGAACTATTTTTTGTAGAATATTAAAGGAAATGAGAGTTTTTAAATTAAAAACACTTATATGGATATACTACTTCTGAATCTATTAACATGCTACGTTTCGATACACATACAGATAATTATTTGCTTGATAACGATATCTATATGTGTATCGAAACGTAGCATGTTAATAAATTCAGAAGTAGTATATCCATATAAGTGTTTTTAATTTGTGAAATCTACCTCTTTATGTCTTATAAGGAAATGAGAGTTTACTGACCCATTTTTCTGAAGTTCACAATAACTTCTAGTGACATAATTCTGGCTACTGGCCAGTTTGTTTCAAAATGGATTTAGAACCCCAGTGATAACATTTTTACTTACAACAATGTCTTGAGGATTAAGTGACTCAACAGCATCTAAAAATAGAAACTGAACTTCCTGGTAGGCAGAATTATGATCAAAATCAAAATATTGATAACCTCTTCTGTTTTCTAACAAACTCATAGATAAACCTGTAAAATAAATAATTAACAGTAAATAAATAATGTGCTCAGTCTGCATCTATAATAGTTTTTCTTCAGGTATATGTTAACAAGAAGATATAACAAGAAGATATTCATAATTACTTACTTCACATTATCTTTTTTATAAAGCATCTAGCAATCAAATTGTTTAGCACTCTGCATAACCTAAGCAGAAATTGCTGATTATCACACTTACACCAAGTTTCATTGCTCTGCCTCAATTAGAAGCAGAGTAGTTGTGTTCTAAAGTCTCAACCAATAAAATTACTTCTCCTTCAGGGTATATGATAAGAAAAATAAATTGATCAGCAGTTATTGGATGTTTTAAAAAAAAAAAGTACTAATCAATCTGAAAATTGATTGAGTTCCTCTTGATTGAATAATAAATAAGTAAATTTTCACGGTATCGAATTGAACAATACCTGTGGGCCATAATTTCTACCGGTTTGGCCTACAATTAATGTCTCGGTGTATGGCAGACTTTCGTCACCTTTAATAGACTTAAACTATGAATAGTTTTATGTTAGCCAATGTAGCATATTGTGTTCTGAATACAAAAAAATAATAAAAAATAGGCACACCTCACTATTTTTCATATTCAATTGCCGTAGAGTATTCAAATTTACGTTTTCGTAATACGATAGAGTGAAAGAGTACCTGCTTCAAATTTACGCCAGTAATATTCCTCCAAAATTACGTGTCTTCATTTACATGGCAGAAAATGAAAGCAAAATATCTGTCGAAACATTGATTGTTTTCATTATAAAACGGTATTTTAAAAATTACATTGTAGCATCGACACCCGTATGCAATGCATGCATTGTTGCCACGTTGTTGTTTTTTGTCCATGTGACCTTTTCCCTGCCAAAATGAACCAAGTGCCATTTTAGTCGCAAAGTAGTTTGTTAAACGAATAAAAATTAAACTGATCTGTATAGCTAATAACAGTGCGCGATTCGGGTGGATACATTTTTCGAGTGATTATAGCCTACGGAATATTTTATTGTTCAGTGAATGGAAAATGATTAAAATGTTGTGTGATGGCAAATGGGATGCCAGATGGGAACACAAAGGGAAATGGTTACAGATAAAAATTATTGTTTTGTGAATAATTATCGAGCTTCTATATTTATCAAAATTTAACGTTTGTACTAATTTTTAGTTAGATCGTGAACTGAATGACTGTTAAAAAGTTAGCTTACGATAAGTTTATTGACTAATCTTTGACTACTTTTAATCTCGTCGACCGACATCAAAGCGATTAAAATGTCCGTACGCTTAATTTAGGACAAGAAACTTGATTCGCAGATTCCCTTAAATTTGATAACTTTCTGCTAATCAAATTAATATTTGATTCGCACTTGCGTCGTTTTTGTTTAGCAAACTGTGATGCAATACCGCTTATCATATTCCCTGTTCTCCTTAGCTTAGGTGAAAAGTGTTCAATATCGAACTCAGTCAAACCATTTACCTGACGAACATCTACTCCCAAGTTTGAACAATCTACCTCAATTGAATTAGAAGCACAGTTATTGTGTCCCAAAGTTTTGACAAACGAAATTGCTCTCCTCTGCTTAGCCTAAGCAGAAAATGCTCAGCATCAACCACGGACAAACAGACACAGACAAACCAATTTAATAGTCAACTACATTCTTCATTGATAATAAATACCTGTTTTAGAATAAGGGGCCCATGTATCTTTAGGCTGGGCTAATCTGGTTGTTCTCTGATGTATACGCTGTCTATTTCGATTCCGTCTGCAACAAAAAAGAATATTTGGGTTTATCTTGAGGAACAGAAAATTTAAAATATGCAGAAGTAATTATTCTCACTAAAATCCAAGAATAGGATATAAAAAGAAATTATAATGTACAGTTCATACATAATTTTCCTATATGTATTATGATAAGCAATTCATACTACTGATAACATAACTTTAAAATATCAAGTATGACAAATCAAATAGGAAATAAACTCCCCCCGCCCCCCCAAAAGCTCTAATTCTTATAATGGTTGAGTATTTTCTTTTCATCTTTTTCATAATCTAAATTTACCTCTGTTCAGCTTGTATTACTCTGGAACCAAATATTCTTCTCATCTCATTGTCTGGGTTTAAATTTCTGACAAATTAGATTAGATCATAATAATGAAAGCATGTAGATAGCAAACATTTAACTATCCAAAAAATATATTTCAAACTGCAGATAATATTTTCTTATAAACAATGTCATCATTATTTTTAAAGGGCATATGGTTCTATTTTTCAACCTTGAAATAGACAAAAATGGTTCTAAAAGGACATATTAATTTAATATGAATGCATGTAAAGTGATTTATATTCAATTTTTGAAAAAAATATTATAATTTCTAATCAATTATGATCTGTGAAATACATGAACAGTTGAAATTGAACGGCAGTCATATACGTCTGCTTAGTGCATTCTACACATTTTTTAAATCATTATTTTGTCGTCCGTGAATCAGCCTTTACCAATTACTTCCACATTGTGTTGTAGACTATGTTTTTATCTGTTCATTACAAAATGGCACCCGAAACCATAGGGTACACGTCAGTACACGACTTGTGTTCTGATTATAAAATGTTAATTGTGTCTTAAATATTGGATTTTAGGATCCCATAGTTTCACGGCAATTGATTGAAATTGATCAATATTGAATTCTAATTCGTGTTTTTAATTTCGAATATTATGGAAAATATTGTTTTAGAGAATTAGCTCCTTTAAATATATTGCGATGCAATGAAAACACACCACTGATTATCAGAAAACCATTAGAATTTGTTTGGTTTTTATAAAGTTTCGCCCCATGCTAACGTTTAGTATACGAAACTTATAACATCATGGATTTAGCTGTTCAAGTCATAAAGATTCATTGAAAATCAATATACTTGTTCGTCTCGAGACCTTAAACACTGAGTAACAATTTAAAGTCAATCGGACATTTACTTTAGCCTCTAGAGCATCCACACGATTTTTCAAAGTGATCAAGGGCCATAACTCTGGCAGTAATTATCGGAAATCGCTGATAATCAATAGGCTTTTTCGTCGCATGACCTTAAACACTGTGTATAAATTTAAAGTCAATCGGATATTAACTTTAGCCTCTAGAGCGTCCACAAGATTTTTCAAAGTGATCAAGGGCCATAACTCGGACAGTAATTATCGGAATTCGCTGAAAATCAATAGGCTTCTTCGTCTCATGACTTTAAACACTGTGTATAAATTTAAAGTCAATCTGATATTAACGCTAGCCTCTAGAGCGTCCACAAGATTTTTCAAAGTGATCAAGGGCCACAACTCTGACAGTAATTATCGGAAATCGCTGATAATCAATAGGCTTCTTCGTCTCATGACCTTAAACACTGTGTATAAATTTAAAGACAATCGGATATTAACTTTGACCTGTAGAGCGTCCACAAGATTTTTTGAAGTGATCAAGGGTCATAACTCTGGCAGTAATTATCAAAATTCGCTGAAAATCAATAGGATTCTTCATCTCATGACCTTAAACACTGTGTATAAATTTAAAGTCAATCAGATATTAACTTTAGCCTATAGAGCGTCCACAATTGCTTGTGGACGTCAGACGGACGGACAGACGGACGGGGGCGACAACAATATACGACCACATTTCAATGTGGGCGTATAATAATGAAAAGACTGTAACAGAACATAGTCCAGCTGAGTGTAGTCAGTGATTAACAGGGTCAATAGCAAGCGTGGTACTATGATGACAACCAAACCTTTGGGCAATGGCTTCGGTAATCATGCCTGTGTTCGGGTGTCAACCTTGACACTGACCCAAGCTTTTGTAAAGCCACACTTTATACCCCATCAGTTTTTTTCGCGCAGTGATTTCTGAGACTTGCTGTCGAAGAATGACATTTTAGGGCTCTCACTATTGACGGGACTCACAGTTAATTTTATGCATATTTTGTTTATCTTAGATAAGCAAAACTTATTATTGTTTAAAAAAAACCATGACAATTTTTAGCACTGTATTACGTTTTAAGTGCTTTTATGAGAGCTCTGGTTAATTACTACTGACTTACTTGTGTTCAACACTTAGTAAAGCTTTCATGGTATATGTTATTTGTGATGTTGTATAATCACCAGCTGTACCTATGTCACCTAATAGTTGATTTACTTCACGTAAACTAGCATCAATCTCATCTTCTACCTATAATTACATGGTATTTACATATATGGTACTTTTATATGGTTATAAAATCTGAAGTTAGATGGCTAATTTAATAATAGTTTGAGTAATGTGGGGAGGGGGGGGGGGAGAGGTGTAGAGTAAAGTATTTGGACAAGTCCAGAGAGGGATTGTGTCTGACAAAGCATGAATGGTGTCTGACAATGTCTGTGACACATCCTTATTTCCAGGCTCAAGTGTTAGTCCCCCAAAAAACCCATTTTGTATAAAGCTGAATATCATTTTTCTTTCTTTCCACTCATTTACTACTAGTATTCAAATCTGAGACTGTCAGTCTCAAAAGCATTGCACAGTTACAGGGATGGTATGCAAGTGATTTGAATTGTCTTAGACCATCCATGTGCTAGTTTTGTTATTACAACAATCTAATTGTGCCATCACTTCAAGAAAAAAAGAATATAACCAACTCACTTCACCATTTTCGTTTCCCCTCGCTGTCTCCGTTGCTTCTGGTTTGTTTTCTTTTCCTTTCTTTCTTTTCTTTTTCTTTTTTTTCTTTTGATAATTTTCAGGGATTCCTTCCTTTTCTAGTTTATCAATTGCAGTATTTTCTGTTGTCGGATCTACTCCTTTCAAATCATCTTCTTCTCTTAATAATTCTTCTTCTTCTCTTAATAATTCTTCTAAATCAGCATTGGTAATATCATCAATGTTATCACTTTTGTTCAACTAAAAAATATCAATAAAAGCATGGTTCATGATTTTGTTTTCTTCTTTAATTTAGTACACGCTCGTTCGTTATACTGAGATTGATATCGCGGACAACTGTTTACCTGGGAAACATATAATTGTCAGAATGGACATAATTGTCGAGGCAAAATTTATTATGTACACAACTGGCCATGATGTTACCCACATAAAATCTCAAGTAGTAGTTGGATGTTGTTTTCAATTTCAGCATCGATTCCCCGGTTATACCTGACGAGGAGTAAGGTCGCCTGTGCAACCTCGTGGGCTTTCTTCAGGTCCTCCAGTTTCTTCCCACTGCTAGAACCCTACGCCAAACCATTCAACCTGACAAAGAGCAAGTCGTTTGTATCAACATAATCGTCCCAATCAGGTGCTCAATCGCCAAATTGAGCACACGGTGGCAACACCAAACGGCGTCATAATGATGGTTGCTAGGTAGAAGTATCAAAATTCTAAATTTGTTCGACGTTGATGATTAACATGTAAAGCTACAATGAAGTACAAATTTTTCATCTTAATAATAGAAATAAGATGAAACAGAATTAAAATTTACACTGAACAAATAAAGAAATTGGATTATACATTGTCTTAATTTAGAAATTACATGAATAGAAGTTAGAAATTACATGAATAGAAGCCGGAAATGACATGAACAGAAGTTAGAAATTAGACGACAGCTTGTTAGAATTTTGAATCTAATATATTGCCATAGGTATTCACCATGGATCACTGTGTTAGTTTAATTTGTTTTAATAAAACGGTTTAGTAGTACAAATACGAGAAAGGCGATACAGAAAGAAAAGTATGATCACACACAGTTGATTCTCACAACACATGGCTAGGCATTGGAAGGGCATCAGTCCCTTGACATTTGGGCACATTAATTTTATTAATCCCTACTGCGCAACACTGACACGCAGATTGCAATCTTTCCGAGGGGTGAAAAATGCACCCAACAGAACCATTTCTATAAGGATGGTAGCAAAAAGGTTAAGATGAACCCTGGTTGTCACCCTTTCTCTGATCTAGAGTAGGTTGCATATTTCGTTTATGTCTGTTCTATAATGATACCAGGGGTGTACATAAAGATTTTGTTTGGGTGGGTGTTTAGAAAAAATGTGACCGACTGATGCATATGTCCCTAATACGAGGGACGCAGTCAGAGGCCAAGCACCACAGATGAAAGTTTTCTAGGGACCAGTAGCTGATCTGGAAGCTGGGGATGGGGGTGGGGCGGTTCCAAATCTAGGGCGCCATCCACAATCACAACCTGCAATGAATGTCAACAAAATACTGGCTGTAACACTGGGCGTCCCGGTAGAACATAAATTGTATTGCCTATATAGTTGTTCGCCGATCGTTATCTCGTCGGAAAGCAGATGTATTCAAGTTGACATAAAGTTTATGTCATATAATATACTATTCAAAAAAAGTAGGGGATATTTGATTTTGGGGGCATAATACTAAAATATGCAAATGACTACGAAAAAAGTCACTATAGAACCTAACAGAAGAAACATTTCCAGTTACATGTGACGCCCAAACGCACCAATTGCTACCGCATGGAATGCAGGTGATGCTTGGGATCATCATGGGGGTCCAACCCAAGATTTGCACGACTCTGACTTTGAATGTTACAGTCATTGTGGCATTGAATCCCAGGGTGGAAACATCAGTTTAATTGTTTTAGTGACCAGAAAACAAATTTTGATATGCGTCGGCTTACCCAAAATGAAAGGTTACGTGCCCTTGGCATGCTACAGATCGGCACAACACAGGCGGTTGTGGCGCGGACGATGAATGTTTCTCAGTATGTCATAAGCAGGCTATGGTCCAGATACCGTGATACACAATCTGTACAGGACAGACCACGCTCAGGTCGACCAAGGGCGACAACTCAAGCCCAGGATCGATTTATCCGTACCTTGGCCTTGAGAAATCGTGTCATCACAGCAAATCAGATCAGCGCTCGTCTTCAAACAGACACTGGTGTGAGAGTGAGTGGCCAGACGATTCGGAATCGACTGCATAGGGGTCACCTTCGCGCCCGACGTCCTCGCGTGATCCCTTGTTTGAGAGATCATCACATTCAGGCAAGACGTCGTTGGTGTAGGGATCGTCAACACTGGGATAATCGACGCTGGAGCAATGTGATGTTTTCAGATGAGTCAAGGTTCACTGTTGATTTTTTGGACAGACGTAGGAGGGTGTGGCGTCGTCGAAACGAGCGCTTCCAAGACGTTAACGTCATCAGACATGATCGATTTGGGGGTGGTTCTGTTATGGTGTGGGGAGGCATCACTGTTGCTGGAAGAACGGCTTTACATGTTGTTGCAGGGCGTGCCGTTCGCACGACGTCATGGCCGCCGTTTCATCTTCCAGGATGACAACGCAAGATGTCACAGGGCCAGGATCGTTACAGGTTACCTCCAACAACAGAACATCACCACATTACCTTGGCCAGCACTGAGTCCCGACCTCTCCCCCATCGAGCATGTCTGGGACATGCTTGGACAGAGGTTACGTCAACGTCAACAACGTCCTGCCAATGTCCAAGAACTTGCTGCTGCGTTGCAACAGGAATGGGACAATCTGGACCAAAATGACCTTAGACGTCTCATTAGGAGTATGCCACGTCGGATCAATGCTTGTTTGGCAAACAGAGGAGGATTTACCCGTTACAGACTTGGTTGTGATGCTGTGGTAACTTTGCTGTTTGACCCCGGGTTATCATTTTACCCTTATAATGGTCAGTCTGTGCCTTACTTAGTCTAACGATCATTTGGAATAAATCGATGAATGTGAACTTCATTTCATTTTGTCATTTGTTTCTTCGTCAGTTTCATTAGGTGACTTTAATAACACTTAAAAATCAAATATCCCCTACTTTTTTTGAATAGTATATGATGATTGTTATTGATTTTATTATTAAATTGGCTATCACACTACGCAACCTGAGAAAATTCTGAAAAATTGAATCAATAACCTGGCATTTGAGGTCATTGCTGGGAGCAAATTCTTGTGAACAAAGAACCAGAAATAGGAGTCAATGGGACAGAATCTCGAAATCTGCCCCTGTCAATTCCGCCTGTTTTGCAAGAGTTGTCAGAACATTTGTACAGTCTGACGCCCCACGTACCAAGCACCAGCGGTACTACTTACTGGGCAGTTCACTATAACCGTGCTGAATATGATAGTGCTGAGGCAGTATAAGATCACGGAGGAGTGAAAGAATGATGTCATAATGGAATTTACCGGCGCAGACGCAAAAATAATTCAGATATGTAACTGACCTTTTAATTTTTGAGGACTGGGCCTGAAAAATTTTAATCTATGTCATGACAAATGGCATCAAATTCTCCTTAAAGAGAGGATAAGAAATGGGAACGAATCTTGAGGCCCGTCCGACAATTTCGCCTGTTTTGTGAGAGTAGAAATAGTAATTGTACAGTCTGTCGCCCAACTCACTAGTGGTACTACTAACTGTAACTGTAAATATGATAGTGATGAGATTGTATAAGACAGGAGAGTTGAAGAATAATGACACAATAGAATTGAGTGCCGTAGGCGCGAAAAAAAAATTTAGATTATGCAACTGAGCTTTTAATTTTTTGTGACTGGGCCTGAGGGGACTTTGTCTCACGGGGGCGCTTACTTGGTCTCTGAACTGCCATTTACTGGACTTTGGGGTCTGGGGAAAGGTTTTGCAGAATTCTGATGTTCAGAAAACACTTATAACATGAGTAAAATACGTTTTAAATTCCTATTGGGATTAAATATGCAAAAAGTAGAAATTCTCAAGTTCAATAGATCGCCTTAACATTTCATAATTTAAAGATTTTTTTACGTATTTCTGAAACAAACTATGCTTCCGATAATTTCTTACCAACTGTTCGACTAATGTTATTCGTATGACAATCAATAATATAATTTAAGTTATCAAAATCGTAACAAGCTCTCTCAATTTCTTGGACCAGCATACTCATAACAGGGAAGTTTTTTTCCAAACATGACAAGTTGACTAGGTTATTTTATACTATACCATTGTAATTTAGGTGCACTCCAAATTTTTCCCTTCTATTTTGGCATTGTTTACCTCATTAATTCATTTAGTCTGAGACCGACTGCAGTGAGCACTTATTTTGAGACCGACTATATGTGACGTAAGAAATTTAGGTGCAAATATATTAAGTATTCGAGATTTTTCCCTTCTATTCTGGCATTGTTTGTTTAACTCATTATTTCATTTCGTCAGTCGCCGATGCATAATTTTGAGACTGACTGCAGTGTCTGCACTTATTTTGAGACCGACTATTTTAGTATTTTTCTCCCTGGGTTTTATTTTTCTTAGACCAACTCACAACAAAATAAGGGTAAAAAACATTTTTTCAAACATGATAAGTTGACAAGGTTATTTTATACTAAAGTTTTAGGTGAGTAGCGTGTGATGTATGCAATTTAGGCGCACGGATTCACGCAAATACATAAAATTTGGGATTTTTCCTTCTATCTTGGCATTGTTTGTTTACCTCATTGATTCAGTGAGCACTTATTTTGAGATTGACTGCACTTATTTTGCGACCGACTATTTTTTTCGCTGCCCCCCCCCCCCTTCCCCATTTACGCCCCTGGGCTGAATGATACTACAGGGAGGGAGAGCCACTGAGACTGGGGAGCCATATTGGCTAAGGAAGTAAGATCTATCCATCAGGATAGAACAAATCACACAAATAAATTACCAATTCAAATCGATTGATCTGTGCTGATTTTTTCTTTTTGTTTTTCTTGGATTTAGATACTGATGGAGCGCCCAGAGTTTCATCATCATCATTTGATTCTCCTTGCTGTTCCCCTCCAACTTTTTTCAAGATTTCTTGTAATGGGTCTTCATTTTGTAGTCGTCTCAAAGCTTTAGTGGACATAATTGTGTTAAAATTAAATAAAGTCTCTGCTTTTTAAATGTTCCTCGTATCTTGTGTATCTTAAATATACTTAAAGGGTATTACAATCTTATTTTATTGCATGCTGATAAGAAATTAAAGCTGTCTGCTTCCCAACAGGAAGTATATCATGATTTACTCCGTATCTGTTGAGTAGATTTTTTTTTTAAAATAACGATTTTATAGAGCAAAGATCATTAGATAAAATACAAAAGCTATTACAATGACACTTTGAGTGGTATAGGGGACGAATAGAATAAACCTTGTTCCAGTGAATTCATTTTATTTTTAAATACAAACATTAACTGCATACTTATCAATATGTCTGCGCCCATGACAAACGAATGTCAATAACAACAAACAGGTGAACAATCAAAATTGTATGATTAGTTTGCGTTAATGATATAAAAATATCTAATGTGTCATACCATGGTCTATTTGTTAAACATCGTGTTGAGTGTTATAGCCTGCATGATAAAACAATTTGAATGACAAACTTTTAAATGTGCGGATGATACATGACTCCACATTGCAGTTCTTGGATTTTAAAGAACTGAAATGTAGGGTGGAAATGATCAAAATGTCAATGACTGAATGATTCAATGAGATGTTCACCATCTGACATCTGACCTGACACCTGTACATTCATCTCTATTCAAATTCAATTGTGTTGTAATTAGTCTATGCCCATTGCAACAACGGTTAAAAAGATGTAAGGTCTGGGAGTGGGAGATTGCCATTTTTATTTTATGAATGGCTTCAAATAATTATAGTAATAGGTTATTTCCCATTTATTAAAGGAGCTAAATCGCTAATATTTGGGACCTAGAAATTGACACAAATGGGTCGCAACGCATATGATAATGTAATATGAATGTATATAAACTGATTTACATTCAATCGTTTCCGTTATTACTCTAATTTCAAATCAGTTATGTTCGGCGAAATATGCCAGAAGTCTCAATCCAATGGCAATCTCTAGCGTCTGGTTATTATCCAGTCTACATAGTATTTATTGTGCATGCTCTCCATATAAGAATATGCCGTCACTGTTTGACATGATTTGTGGAATATGTCTAGCCTCGTTCTTCGAGTCCCTTGTTACAAATGGGACTGAGACGCATTATGGTACACGATTCATGTACCAATGGTAAAATGTTTATTTTGTCTGAGATATTGGATATCAGAAGCCCATCTTTTCCCTGTAGGATCAAAACATCAATGTTGATTTAAATTGACAAATAATTCAAGTTTTCAATGTCGAAGACTTTGGATGATACTGAGTTAGAGACTTAGCTACTTTAATATATAAAATATCCTGATAGTCATATATCGTAAAATATAATTTTTCAAATATTGTGATATCCAAAATTACATATCACCCAGAACATTTAATATTAATTACATATTTTTGGAGTCTGTTAACTATATGGGTATTGTGTGATGTTATTTCAGGGTGACACTAATTGAGCAAAACAAAATGAAAAAGTAAAGACAGAAAGATGTTGCAACAATTAATGATGAAAGTCTGTCCATCAAGCTGTTTAATGCAATGGAGTTTGAATGTAATAAGATGTAAAACCACCAATGTTCCTATGGTGAAGATTATGAGAAAAGTTATTGAGAAGAGTAATAAATCCAAAAAGTAGGTGTAATTCTTTTATCACTTCACTGAAAGAGCATAAATATTGAGTGTAAACTAATACCACTGTAGTGGTTATGTCCAGCACCCAGTTTGGCTTGGTACCTTACTTTTTTATACACCCACATTGAAATGTGGTCGTATATTGTCGTCACCCCCGTCCGTCCGTCCGGCGTCCACAATTGCTTGTGGACGCTCTAGAGGCTAAAGTTAATATCCGATTGACTTTAAATTTATACACAGTGTTTAAGGTCATGAGACGAAGAAGCCTACTATTGATTTTCAGCGATTTCCGATAATTACTGCCAGAGTTATGACCCTTGATCACTTCAAAATATCTTGTGGATGCTTTAGAGGCTAAAGTTATTATCCGATTGACTTTAAATTTATACACAGTATTTAAGGTCATGAGACGAAGAAGCCTATTGATTTTCAATGAAATTCGATAATTAGGTCCAGAGTTATCATCCGGTTGACTTCAGATTGATACAGAGTTTAAGGTCTAGAGACGAATCAGCTAAATCCATGATATTAAATGTTTCATATGCTAAATGTTAGCATGAGGCAGAAATTTATAAAAACCAAACAAATTCTAATGATTTTCTGATAATTACTTAATGAGTTGTTAATTTTAATCATATTTTAGTGTATTATAAATGTTTCATTACTGAAAAAAAGTAAAAAAATGTGACAACTCTTGTTGACTGCCTGGACGATTTAGCTGCTGTGGGCATATGTTTCGTTGCCTGGCAACCTATCTTTGCAAGTGTTGGGCGAGAATTTCTCAGTGTGGTTTCCCTTTGTATGTAAATGTGGTACAGGTTGTAGGACGATTTAGCTGCTGTGGGCGTACCTTTGTATGTAAATGTGGTACAGGTTGTAGGAGGTGCCAAGTAACAGCATCTGGTTGTTTGGATGGTCCTGTGTTCTTGTTGTCGTGCACAGAAAAGAACCCTTGCCAGTTGTAATTTGATGAAAAGTATGCAGAAACAGTGCTGTGTGGGCAATATTACCCTCATACATTGAATACCATAGTTCTTGTCTTCATTAGCCCAATTTCTGCAAAAACTTCATTTCTCAAAAAGACTTCCCAAAAAGAAACAGGACAAATTGGCAGATATAAAATAGGTTCCATAAAAAAAAACCCAACAAACAAGGAACCATGATGCAAATAGTTACATGACTGATGTGGTTTTACTTTATTCCCATGCACAAGGGTCAAGGAACTTAACCAGCCCAGATACCAAGCTAGATCGGGACACTGGAAAATGTAATTAGTGAAAATATGTTAGACCCTTGTTAAATCTGCTTTTCTAGTTGGGTTTTATATATATATGACTGCATTAATCATATCTTAATTTTATTTTCAGGAAATCTTACAATGTGCTTCATTGGGTAATTATTATTTTATTATATAGATAATAGTCTAGGGATCATACTTGAACATCATTTCATTGAGGGCTAGTATTTTAAAGACAGCATTCTTTTAGAAATGTTTATAGATGACTAGTATAGTATGTTTTAACTTCATGCAGAGACTGGATATGGTTGTTTTTATACGCCCACATTTTCATGTGGATGTATATTGTCGTCGCCCCTGTCCATCCGTCCAGAATTTGTTTGTAGACAGTCTACAGGTCACAATTTTTATCCGATTTTGACGAAACTTGAAATATAGGTTTATCTCCCAAACATCTAGTTCCTTTCAATATTGGCATATTTCAGACTGTAAAATCACATTTTTAGCTTGTGGACACTCTAGAGGTCAAAATTGTTATCAGATATTGATGAAACTTAAAATGTATGTTCATAACCCAATGATCTTGGTTCCTTTCAATAGTCATGCATATCGGAATGTAACTTCCTGGATTATGACCCCTGATTGTACGAAAATCAAGTTTTTAGCATGTGGTCCCTCTATAGGCCACAATTTTTATCGGTTTTAAAAAACGTTCATATATATCCTTTCGATACCTGCGCATATCGGACCGTAACTTCCTGGATTATGCCCTCGGATCGTAAAGACTGGACATGGTTGTTTTTATACGCCCACATTTTCATGTGGACAATGTGGACATATATTGTCGTCGCCCCTGTCCGTAAAATTGTTTTGTTTTTCTTTAGCTTGTTCTCTGGCGTATCATGCATGGCAAAAGCTTGTTTATAAATTAATAAAATCATATTGCTACTTTTAAATTTAAAGCATGCTTGGTTTATCTATTTACAGACACAAACAAATACTACATTAGCAGATAAGGAAAAAAGGGGTTTTACTGATGGCCAAACCAATAGAGCACAACATATAGGAAAAGTCTTATACAGATATCTTATAGACCTAATTAACTCAGGAGAATTATCGTCATGTTTGACTGAATATGGTGTTAATATAACTAGGGTAAGTAAATAATAAGATACCATGCATGGACAGACATGACCATGCTTTATGCATGTTTTAAAAATATGAATCATGTTTTATAAATTCCCGAAACACACACACAACTAACATATTATGATTGTATGTGATAATTCTCAGTAGTTTTGTTATCGAAAATACTATAAAATTACGAAATTAAAGAGATTTAGTTCATCGATATAGAAAAATTGATTTTGAAAATGGGTGTCTCTTTTCCTAAAAAAAATGTTAAGAGCAGTGGAACTGGAAAAATCAAGTACATCATCACTAAACGAGTTATTACAACCTCTACAAGGTAAAAGTTAATTTTGATACAATGTATTTAAAATCTTTATACGTGTATTCCATAAATTGTTGTATTTACACAGACTTCCGACTGCCATCCTAATATATTGTAGTTTAATTTTCTAAATAAGACATTGTTCCTGACCATGTTTAATGGTTTATTACTTTATGTACATTATATGAATTGTAAAAATTTTAGTACAAACAGTACTTAATCTTACTTGCATTATTTTGGGAGATGTTTTATAATATATGTTTTAGACATAACTATAAAAACAGTTGATGCATGGATTGAACAAGAGAAAGCAGAATCCAACTTTATCATAGGGCAACATTTAACAAATTAAATATAGTAATTATCAAATTGTTAACATTAATTCTAACTCTCATCACTTTTACTTTATCATATATATAACAGCATAATATACTGTTTAAATATAATGGTCGTACACAACTCTTTGGATTATTTTATTTGCAAAATAAAGTCTGATTTCTGAAATAGATATTATAGGTAAAATTAATTATATTTATGATGTGTTCGTTAAAAAAGTATTAACATTAGTGTTACTTTGCTCTTATTTTTTTTAACAAATTTTCACAAGTTGATTTCCTTTATTTTGTTAATGTAGAATGGTAATGAACTGCTCTTTTCATTTTCTTTGTTTTATTTGTTTCGTTTGAATTTGATTTATCAGTTTAGTTTTTGATTGTTTAATTTTTGTTAATGAAGTTGATTCTTTTAAACTTCGTTTCAAATTATTCATTTTACATTATCTATTTTCGAAACCATTATA